CAAGAAATCTTCTGGCAGGCCGGTAGCGAACACATGTCAAAATCAAGCTATTCCTAGCGAAGAGGCCAGTGCCAGCTTGCCAGTTGCTTCATCAAGATAGTAAGGAGTTCGCCGGATTTTTCTTTAGCCACGCCAAGTCGTGTCTTTTCAGAAGATATTCTTGGGTTGAAAAGCTTTCAACTCCCTGCACAAGATACCGTTTTTCATGGAACCGTCATGAAGTGATTTGTGAAACCACAGGAGGTGAATCGTGGATTTTGATTCCATCTCTCCACTTTTGCCAGACGGTGAACACCCTCTACAACGACTTCATCAAGACACAGACCGCTGATAGCAAGCCACGGGTCAGCTTGCCCAGTCAGTTGGTGTGTTGAACGGCTGAAGCCGGGGAGACCTCGGCCAGTGGATGACACAATGAAACACATGAACTCCATGCTCCAGCTGGTTCGGATTGACTGTGAGGCCTGGCAGAGATCCAGAAACCAATATTTGACAGTCAGAATCCGCAAGCCCCCCACCATTATTAGCCGTGCCAAGGCCAGCCGATGGGACCGCCAACCCAAGGATCCCCCAACAAATCACTCCTAAGGATGACAGTGGGTCAAGATCAAGCACCCAAAACAAGAGTCAATGAACATCTTCAGGTGGACATAGGCAGTTGCGTTCCAGGTTGGTCAACTGATTTACTTTGCCGATGCCTCCGCCCAAAGGTGATGCTTCTCATGTGCAGAGACGCAAGACCCGAGAATGCAGCGGTTGGGAGTCCTCAGAAAGTCACTCGCTTGTCCCTCAAAGCTGAAAAAGGACACCCAGAAGTTGAAAGGACATGTAGACGCCAAGTTTTGTGAGTCGACAAAGGCCTAGAAGTTTTGTGAGTCTGTAAATTTGAACTCTACACCATACTACCCATCCCCGCCCTCGAACTTTCTCTACAATGGACGCATTGGGCCTCCATGTTTGACTTGGCGGGATAACTGACTTGCAACAACTGGATTTCAAGCTTGTTACAGAGCCCTTGTCCTTGGCGCTTAGGATGATCGTTAGTGCGAGAATCATCACCCCACTGGGCAGAAGAAGCATTGATCACTTGTGGAATTTCGAGGTCAAAGCAGCGGAGGGCAGCCAGACCCGGGTCATTTTGAAAGGTCTCGAAACCCAGGCGCGATCGATCGACTTCCCCGCGCATCGGTGGAAGGATCCTGTGGTCCTGCCATCCGCTGCACCGAAGAGCCGTCGTCGCGGCGCGAAGCGGCGCTTCTCGGCAGGCGAATGTGGCCGAATACATGAGCAGCACGGAGCCTAGAGAGTCTGCAAGCATGAGCATTTTTGTTCATTTTGACTCTAGTCATGGTCGAACACCCATGTTTGTTGAATGGGACTCTTCAATAATTTGTGTGGCAACAGAACCACAGGTGTGTGTTGGTCTATTTTCCTGGCCTAAGAGGCTTCTTCGTGCGCGACACGTACGAACCTCTCTTCACCCCCGCCTTCACCCCCCGCGGGGTGCCGTGCTCACCCGGCCGAGGATGTTTGAACCTGCCTGAAGCGGACTCCAACCTGATCCCGTCGCCGCTGAGAAACTTCGTCTCAGATGCCCCCCAGACGCAGCGTTCGAGGGTTCGATCGAACGGACCGAGCGTTGCGAAAACCGAAGTGTTTCGGTTTGGTGGAAAAAAGCAAGATGAGATAGAGGTGAAGCAGTGAGAGTCTCGTGAGGCCTTTTTTGGTCATGGTGAGCCAAGGTGAAAGCTGCCAGCTATTTGTGGTCTGTCTCGTTTCACCCTGTTTTTTTGTTTGTGAGACTGGAATTGGCTTGAAATTTGACATCTGTCCAATGGGAATGCATCGTACAAATGTTTGGCCAAGTGGAAAGGCCACACGTTCTTGACAACTGCTGTAGTTCACCGGAAACTACGCATAGCTATCCATTCCTTTGGTGTCCTCTTCTTCCTTCGGCTACTCCATTCCACCCAATTCGTCCGACGCGTCGCGCGCAGACATCGTCAGCCCAGGTCACTCAAAAGAATCCTTTGTACATTCGAGAGACCATTGATCAGCTGCGTGAACATCACATTCAGGTCAGGACTGTGATTCAGAAAATGTCATGACTAGAGATGTCATGTCATGTGTCATTCAGGTCCGGCTGCAATGGTCGTGAACATCATCATGTTGACATGACATGACACATTATGAAGTGGAATGAAATGTGGTCGGATGCAGATTGGCTGGCCTGGCAGATGCTGCAGACAGTCTGACGGAAGCCGCGAAGCCGCGCAGGTGAATGAAACCGCAGGAGGAGTGGTGAAGAATGTCGAGTGTAAGGCTGGGGGCCACTTGAGCCTAACTTAGGTGTATATAAGTGAGGCGCTACGTGCACAGCGATCATTTCCATGTTTTCCGCCGATTTTCCCAACATTTTCTCCCAAACTTCATAGTTTTGCATTTGGCATATTCTGCATGGTAATTTCTTGGTGGCAGTTTCAGATGTCCAAGTGTCAAGCATGTGGACTCCAAAAGAGACCCCCTACATTTATGAACATATTGGTTCCCAATCTTTGGTGTCTCTGATTTCCGCCGAGGCGCCTCGGCTTTCGCTCCCAGCATGTTTTTTTGCATCCGACCGCTTTTTGCTTGGTGGTGTCATCCACCCAAAAGCAAGCCCCCAATCAACGGAGCCACACCGCTCGGTGCCGATCGTACATCGACACCACGGTGGTTGGGCCGAACAGGACATCGACAAAGTGAACGTCTCCCAATGGGGACACACCGCCATGATCGGGAACACCGTTTGTGCGTTGGAGGCCTTGGATCCATTGGAGGCCTGGGGGATCGTCTTGAGTCTGAAGGGTCCAAGGGCTCCGATTTTTATATCGCATGGCTCGACCAGCTTCTTGACCTTCCTGACCTTCATGATGATCCAAGTTCTAACAACAAAGCACCCTGCTGCAGAGAAACTGTGCAACTTGGGGAGAAAGATCATTTTGAGAGAACATCCAACCATATCCGACCTACCAGCCGTGCCAAGTCTGTGAGTCATGGCCACGCAACGTGCATGACTAGGCGGCCGTCCTGAAGATGAGCACGTGTTTTATGGGGCCCTTCACTTTGGGCGACCTGGCCGCCAGCACTGCGTCCAGGCTGGGCATTACGCGGGTGAATCAGGGTGGGAGGAGTGACATAGAGGCTGCTCGCCCAGGACGGAACTTTCTTACCATCCATTAGGTCATTAGGTTGTATTGATTTCAGATTGGTGCCAGAAGCTACCTCCAGAACACCAGAAAGCAAACCATGACAAGTCAGAACACGTGGCACCACCACCCACCAAACCCCCCGATTTGGGTCTCCCCCAAAATGCCCTTCTCCGTTCCGTGTGGGACACCGCGGTGCCTCGCAGGTGGTCGGACTCGACCCACTTTGACTTTCTGCTCCTCTTCCAGGCATCGCAGTGGGTTGACCCCGTGGTCCGTCCGATCGACCACGGAGACAGACCGACCATGGACGATCGCCAGGAATGGAACGACGAAGCTTTCGGTGAACGGAGAATGTCCGTCAGGGATACTCCTCTGGGAGGGAGATCTAGGGGCAGAGGGGAGAGATGTTCCAATTCTCGGGGCCAAATCAATTGCTGGGATATGCTTGGGTACTTGTGTGAGATCCAGAACAGCTAGGGTACTCCAGAGAGACCAGACCTGGTTCGGCGATTTCGTGCCCACACCTGGCGGTGTTTGTGCCCAGACCTTAGGAAGAGCTGCTCCAGCTCGGTTCCTCAAGGCCGGCTTCGCGCCAGGCGATCCGCAAGCTGCTGGATCAAAAGATGTTGGAGGCGGTGGAAGCGCCGGCCGAAGCGAGGCCGGGCACTGGGTGCAGGGGTTCACAGGAACTTTCGTTTGACCGCGGGGACCGTGGAGGCAACTGTTTGTTAGTCGAGTTGAAAGACGTTGGAAAGACTGCCATCGCTAGTAGGTTGAAGGATCGCTGGAAGGCTGAGGGCCACCTTCTCCTCCTGAGATTTGGAACGGCCTCTGGAGTGCCTTGAGAAGAATAAGCATGCAGAAGTGCACATCGTCCATTTGTCTCTCCACCGGTGGCTTTACTGGCTCAAAGCGGCGCGTCTTGAGTCAACTGTACCGAATCTGAAGGCATGCAACAGATCTCCTGTATTAGGGGGTTATCTTGACGAGGATATGCGCAGTTGTGTGCTGACATCATATATGCTGAGTAGGGAACCTCATGAGATCAGTTTCCTACAGGATTTGAAGACAACAGTCAGTTCAGCAGTGCTTTGCATATCCTGTCAGAAACAAATGTGGTTGACTGGTTGATCAATCGTTGTTCCCAATGGAATACTCATGTGAATACTCATTGATTGCATGTCACTGCCTTTCAGGTGTCCATATGTTGAAGAGTACCCAATTGAATGAATGAAGCAACTTATTTCTCATGAGGGATTGACAGCTTCTACAATCCTTGGCAGCATTTGATGGTCGACACTGCGATTCACCAGTGACTTCGTCAGCAGGACCAGCTCTCGTTTTTTCCGGGAGACAGCTTACTACTGGGCAGTGGGTCATAGCGGGTCAATCTAGACAGGGATCAGCGGCATTGTGTTGTCAAAGTAGTCTTCTGGTACAAACGTCCGGGGAATGCTAAGCGAGCGGAAGTGAGTTGGACTTGTGGAAAGGCTCGGCAGGACGGCAGGAGATCGATCGAGGGAAGGGGAGCATGTTTCGTTCCCCGAATGAGTTGTTAGGATCCTGGACGACAATCATCCCGAGTTATGAACGTTGATCAACAACATGGTCTTTTTTGCCAACGTCTGAAAGCCTTCCCTAAGTAGATGAAATTGAAGTACTCGACCAATATGTTCCTAGACTGCTCATCCTTTCTTCGTATCTTGGTCATTCCTCACCGCTTGTCACCAATATGCCCACCCACACCAACCTCCCCCGCCTCAAAGAAGAACACGTACCAGTCTGACGGGGCTGTCCGCCACGCGCAGGATGAACTTCGTCCGTGCGGAGACCATCGTGCAGGAGATCACGGTGCCCTGGCTACATTGGTGTGAAGAAAGAGGGGCGCGCTTCTGGGATGGTTTGAGCATATGCTGTCACTCAGCAAGGAAGAACGGGATATGAAACCTCATCAGGAGCGGGAATGGGGTGAGACAGAGCATTGCACACGAAGGCTGTAAGACCAAGACCCTTCTTTTGTGTTTGGCTCTGAGGATGATGGAAAAGTGCGGGATATCATTACGCAAGTGAAGAAGTCTGAGGCTGGGATATCAACTTGTCAGATTGGCCAAACTGAGGGGTGGGTGGGACACAGTGGAAGTTCCTATGTTTTTTTTTTTCCCTGAGACTTCCGTAGGCGGAGCAAGAAGCTGAGCGACGGGAACAAGTTCTTCGGAGTCTGCTTGGGGGCTCAGAAGAGACCGGCGGTCAGTGAACTTGTCAAGTGAAATGTACTTGGCAGGATAATGCGGACCGTTCTCTTTTGAGGCCAGAGTTCAAGCGCGATGGCCAATCAGCTGCCGAACAGAAGGCAGTTGAACAGGCTAACGAGCAGCAGGAGAAGGCATCGGTCCCAAACAGGAACGAGACCGTCAAAGCACCTCCCTCTACCACTCTTCAGTCTTGTGAGCATGCGCGCTATGTTTCAGTCATGTGCTAGCGGTAGCGCAAGTTGCAACCAATCTTGTTGAAACGTGGTGAGTGGTGATTGAAAAGACAAAAACTCTTTTGCAATATTTCGAAATGAGGATGAGGCAGCCAAGGAGTACAATGTCCACACCATCGACGAGGCGCTGTGCAGTTTTCTGCCGACCACGCGGTGCACGGTTTGATGCAGCCCTGGACCTAGGCGGAGTTTGAGCACTATCAGCAGATAGAAGATGCTGAGCGTGAGAAGAAGCGAAAGTTGAAATCGCAGGAGATGCGGCTGCTCTTCGCTCCTCATTTGGCGAACACTCATTAGAACATATTAGAGCCTTTTTCTGCTCCTCCCTTTCGAGTTGAAGAAGCAAGCTCGCCCCTTAGGACACCTTCAAAAAGAGACTTTACTTTTGTTCTCTTTTTTTGGAAGGGACTGGGGGGACGACACATTCTATTGGGATCAGATTGAGATTCATTCACCAGAAGACATGTCATTCACCGCACGGAGATGGCTCCTCCGGACGAAGGACGAGGAGGCCGTGGCCATGTTCGCGGACGAGCGCAAGCGGCTCAAGGAGGTGCGGAACGACCCGTCCGGAACGAGCTCGGTGGGACCGTCGTTTTCGGCCAAAGAGAGGTGAAAAGGAAGCACTTGGTTGGAAAGCGACAAGAGTGGGAGGAGGGTTGGAGTGATGCTTGGTGCTCTTTGGGGGAGTGTAGTGCAGGATGTTGAAGAAAAGCGGCCTGACCTGATCTCTATCATGAGGCAGGATCCAAGGACTTGATTCGGAAGAATGAGAAAGCAAACGAACAAACAGTCACAGCTGAAGGCTGCGATCACATCACCTGTATCACCCTTTTGGTCATGACTCAATTGCTCTGGAGGCAGCAGAACATGGAAAAGTCTGAAAAGAAGGGCAAGGCTGGACACCCAGTCGTCGACATTTTCAGGACCTCTTTCCTGCACTCAGTTTCTCAGGAATCCAGTTCCGACCAGAGAACCCACTGTAGGAACTTTTTCATGGGGTCTGGATGGGTCTGGGAGATCCCTGACATCATGAGGCACCCATGGCATACTTGTGATGAAATCGTCTTCAGTGAAGTCTTTGTCTTCTGTGATAGCAATGGCCTTGGCCTCCAACCGGCTCAAAAAGATATTCAACCCTGCATTACTTCTTCGCCAGAGCGTCGCCCTGATTTTCGTTGCCGGCTTTCCACCGTACGCCATGGCGACCAATGCACCTCTTTTGGGCAATCAGGGTAAGAAGGGCCACTCGAAGGCTTCGATCTTCTACGGAGCGGATGAATACTTATCGGAGCTCAAAAAAAATATGCCCACGATCACGAAATTGCGGCGACGAAGAACTTGCTTCCGGGTGAGGCTGACCCCAATGCCGCAGGGGTAGCACAAAGCCACGATAAGATGCTGAAGGTGGAGAAAAACGATGCGAACAGGAGCTTGAAGACCAACCGTCTGTTCCCAACGGCCAACAAGCCGGACCCGATGCCACAGAACTTGGCCTTCTTGTTCACAAAGATCACTCCAGTGTCCTGGACTCGCTTTTTCTCAGGTGTTTTGTTCCTTTTTCGCCAGATGCTTTCGTGGGGCCCCCCAAATCGAAAGGCGCGCAAGGTCCGCAAGGAAGATCTATCAGGAAGATCTATCAACTTCTCGAACTTCTCGAACTTAGGAGCAGATGATGTATATGTGGAACGTCTTGACCGCCATCTTCGTTGCACAAGTTCTCATGGTAGTTGCTTATTGCGGAGCCCTGGCAACATTCCCCGAGTACTGGTGGACTTGTACGTTGCTCTTTGGGATCCCCTTCTCCTACATTGCCATTCAGCAAATTTACATCGATCATGATGATTCTTGGCTTAGTACAATCCAGGATCTCTAATCTACTGCACCCTACCACTAGTCAGTTGAATATCAGTCGTGAGTCGTGAGCAGTCAAAAAGAGGAACATTGAAGATGTAGAATCTACTGCAACCGATCACCAAGCAATCTGGTGGTTGATGCGAAACAAAAGAACATAAAGGAACCTGATGCCGGTTTTTTTGGCACATTCCATACAAACAAGGCTGTGTCAAGCCTTCGAGGTGTGCTTTTTTGCTGCGGGAAAATCCCTCCAGGGAAATGAACAAAAAATGAGGGAAAGACGCACATCTATTGTAGAACTATGCAAGATCTGCAGATGGAACGTATATGCAAGATCTACGTACTCTTGATGAGAGACTATACTCCACAAAAAGGCACCCATGTTTGTATCAGCCCGAGGGTTGAGACTTGCTTTGGAAACAATCGTTACCTGTTTGGACCTGCCACAGGGATCAGCTTTGCACATACTCTGCCTATGATGAAGTTGCTCTTTTCTTGGCGCTGTCTGGCCAACGTAATGCATGGGGCGACTTTCCCCGTTTATGATTGGCAGAAGTTCCTGACGCATCCTTTTGCAGACTTCTTCTCCTTGCCATGGGAGGAGTTTGTCTTGGAGCACAATCGACACCACGCAAGCACTGTGGACCTGTTGATCCAGGGGGAGTTTGGTTGGGATCCAGAGGTGGGTTTGTCGAGCCAGAGTGCTTTTTCACCGAGTGCGGGTTTGATGAGAACAGTGAATTCTTTGTTCGGGTCTTCTTTCTAGAATTGTGCCTATCTTTTTTGAATGTGTGCATCATGAACCGGCAGTTTCAATCTAAATGCCGCAGGCTCGTGTAGTGATTCCGGCCTGTGTTTCACATGCGAATGCCACCGAAGCACCAAATCGGGGCTGACCTGCCACAGGAGTTCCACTATGCCTTGCAGCAGTGGGCAGGGCCTTTCAGCACAAATTGGTACAAGTACATCCTTACAGTCCCATGGTTCCTTTTCTTTTTTTGGCAACGTTTTTGGCCCTAGCCTGTGTTGAAGACATGCACAAGCCCTGCCTTATAGCTGGTTCAGCTTTGGACAAGACAGCATTGCGGATTCCGATCATTCACTTCTTCGGCCTCAACGACAGCGTTGGAGTGGTGGATGCATTTCCCTGATGAGGGTGCTGGTGGCAAGTGCAACTGAGCAAAGAAAGAGCACCTTTTACATCATCGTTATTTTCTTTTATTTATTTTTTTTCCGGAGCCTGAGTTTCTGAAGAACTACCTTGCGGCAGTTGGACATAAATAGGCGCTCAGCTCTCGGAGCAGGGTTTCAGGTTGACTCCCAAAGCTTGAACAATGCACGGGTAATTTGCATCCGTCGTGTGCCGTGTGAGCACCGTAATGCGCATTGCCGCGAGAGTGAAGATGGGGCGCGTGGCGCAGACGGCGCAGAAGGACAGCACAGAAGGTGAAGACAGTGCAGGCGGCACAGAACAGCGCACGTGGTAGACGGCGCACGCGCGACCAAACCGCCCATCTTTCACGTTGCAAACTTGGCCAAAAGTGTTGTGCGCTGCCCCTTCCCACCCAATCCCAACACGTTTCTTTGGCCCTTCCCAACTTCAAGTTCTCCCCCAAGTCTGAGAAACTTGGCCAACTTTCAGCTAAACATCAGAGGCAACAAAGACTTTTGGGGAAAATGGGTGCCGAGACGTGTGTGCCACAATGCCTTCGTGCTGTCCTTGTGGGCCTTCGTGTGGCTTTTGGGCACCTATCCATTGGGTAGGCCATTGAGCGAGGGATGGAGGTTCATGTTCACCGTGTCCTTCTTTGCTCGTATCGGATTCTCGGCTGCCTGGATGTTCATCACGAACTTCACCCACTCACTTCCTTGGAACGAGTTCTTGGCACAGGACCCAGGCCGCACATGGCCAGTGCTTCACAATGTCATGGCTTTGGTGTTGGGTGGTAAGCACCACTGGAATGAGATGTTGTTCCACGACGTTCACCATGCTTTTCCCAATGCAGTGGGCACATTGAGCCAGCGTGGGCGTTTCCATGGTTGGGAGAAGGTGCATGACCCAGCGGCTGAAGTCTTGCACCGTGGCCTTTGGAAACCAAACGGTGATGAGGAGACCCAGATGCAGAAGACGCAGAAGAAACGTTCTCTCATGATGAAGCAGGGCAAATGAGACCCTGCACCCCTGCTGATTGAAGGGTCTTCCACCTGCGGCGACCTAACTCTTGTGACTCTTGTCACATTTGGTCTGCAAAAAGCAGTCCAGCACTGTTGATCATGTGCATTTTGTACAGTTGACTTTTGCTCAGCATGAATATGCGTGAGTGTTAATTTTCGCACGTGGGCGGAGGAAAACTCCCTTAGAAAGAGCCAGTTTTTCAGACGGTGTATGTGTATGTGTTTTTTCTCCAACGTTAATGTGCAAGGGGACTCAGCTGCAAATGTTCTTGACTGAACACGGCAAATGCAGCCGTAGTGGAAGGCAAGAAACCTGATATTCCCATTGGTTTAGGTGCCTTCAGTGCATTTCATGAACGGAGGCACTTACCAGTGGTTCTTTTTTTTTCCGGTGTTATTTTTGCCCCGGCGAGACTGATCTCAGGTTGCCTCCAGTTTGGAACGCCTCAAAGGGAAGATCACTGTGAAGGCGGCTGGCGATGCGCAGGCCTCCGGGCAGGTGTCGGGTTCGAGGACGTCTGGAAAAAGTTTGCTAGACCTACTTCTTAGGACTCAAATAGATGCATGGGCATTATCCATTTCCAAGACTTCCTCCTCCGGCAGACTTCTGAGCAATTCAAAGATGTTGCCTGCTCATGGGTTCCAGTCACCCTGAATCACCGACAATGTCATAAAGTACTTCTCTGTGAGTCACTGACAATGTCGTAGGCGCCGGCAGCAAAGAAGGATGCCGCTCCTGTCAGCGCACTGGTAGGCAGGAGTTTCTGGCAAAGCCAGAGCCTGTTCAGCTCGTCAAGTCAGTCAAGTCGAAGTGTTCAATTGGACATGGAGGTTTTGCAGGTAATGAAAACTCAATGACCCCGGACCAGTAGGAGTTCTGCAGAGAGACTTGTTGAACCTCTCAAAATATGATGTTTCAAACAACTCTCCTCCTTTTGTTGAGTGATTTCAAGGATCAACAGCACCCGAATCCGTGAAGGGGTTGACTTGGCATGAGTTTGCACCCCAAGACACCGGTCCCTTTTGAGAAAGACTTCAACCAGTACACCGGGTCGCTTCCGACCATCACTGTGACGGGCAGGATATGGCTCGGACTCCGAATGAGCAGCTGCGCAGTCCAAAATGTGGTGTCCCTTGCGCTTGTGGCGCTTGCTGCGCTTGCTCCGTGGGGGTTTCCTGGAAGTCTCCCCTTGGTGTGAGGCACCATCCTGGGGGCCATGGTGGTCCTCCCCTTGTGATCATGCTGATCTTTCAAGAAAGCGAAAGGATGTGAAGCGCCATCATGATGATGTGAAGATGTGCATGGTTTGGAGCTGAAGACAAGACCCTTGAACGTTGAGTGGTCCTAGAGGTTGAAGTTTCTGACCACCACAGACCAACCTCTGACATCCTCTGACCACCAGTCCGCCCCCAAAAAAGAAAGCCGCCGCCCACAGCGCTTCACGGACGGGTAGACTTCGGCAGGGGACAAGAATCGTCGAGCTCCAGGAGAGTTCGTTGTCGAGCGTGGCGGGGGTTGCGGGGGTTGGGGTGGCATGGGACACGGTCAGTGGTGGGTGGAATAGGGGGCTGTGACTTGGGAATTGAAAAGAGAGCGCTTTTTATTTGGGACGGGGCATGACGTGGTAAAGTTGGGATCTTGCAAAACCTCGGTTGTTGGAGACATCGATTCCAATTGCTGGTGTAAATCTTGATTCGGAAGGGGGAAACACTATGGAAACATGTGTAAGTGTTAGATATATATATATATGTATATACATAGATGTTTTAATATCTTGATATCTTGAAAAATATGTTAGATATAGTGTAAGTAAGCATTGAACACATCTTGATATCGAGATGCCAACGTGCCTGGCTTGTGGATGCCACGTGATGGGGTGCATCACGGGCCATCGCTTCGATCGGGCCATCGCTTCGTCGAAACTGCACCGTACGGACCCGTCCACTGGGCGGGTTCGCCGGAAGCGGTGGACCGGAGGAAGCTGCAACACTTCCAGACTCAGAACATTCTGATCAAATCTGTGGGTGGTGCCATGCTTTTGGAGGCCCAGATTATTGCACTGGGATTTGCTGGGTCGAAATGCCGATTAGCGTCTTGAATGACAGATGCGTCTCAGCAGACTGAACCAGATCACCGTATGAGTCCATTCAAATCGATCCTTCAAAAAGCATCAAAACTTCAAAGTCTCACATGAACTCAAACTAAGCACCCACCCCCTCGAAGAAGAACACGCCTTACACGTTCTGCCAGGCGCAGAAAAAGTCCGTGAAGCGGCAGGCGTTGATTGACCGAGCCCTCTACCGTTACCTCCCGGAGCGTATGAGAGAGTTGGCGGAGAAGCGGAACAAGCCGCACATTCCATGGTAGGGATTCCGATGGCCAGATCTGGCTTTGGGATCTTGGGGTTGGCCCGGCAGGAGTCGTTTTTCTCTCGAAAACCAAGAGTCTTAGGCCTTGAGCTCCTGCTGAAAATGGTTGGTTCAACCTGCACATTGAAGTTCGATCATTATATCAAGGGACCTGTTTCTGGGTAAATAGACAGCCAAACATGACACTCAAACAGAGTCTTTTGGCAGTCTCATCCTGAAGCTGCAAACATGATGGTTGGATTATAGAGTTTAAACATGTTTGGACCAATAAGCCTTCTCAAACTCCTCATCCCATACATTCTGTGGTGGCTGTAGGCATGTTCTTTTGTGGTCAAAGCTTCTCCAACATGTCCAGACACGCGGAAATCACCAGACGGCCCGGCGAAAACTCGCGTGACCTCCAGATCCACTGCTGAGGTATTATGAGCAAGCCTTCCGAAGAATGCAAACGTAGGCAGTATTGGCCGGTGACTCAGCTCTAGCTCAGCCGGCCGTGTGACCGGCCCAGCTCATTGCTGGTGGAATTTCGCAGGTCAATACTCCCAAAAAACTGTCTTTCCTCAGCCCACCCTGAATGGCCTGAATGCACCAACTCTGAGGTTTAAGGCCTGGAAAGCCGTTTTCAGCGAAATTCGTGGTACCGAGCCAATGGCCCAAGACCTGGGGTTCGGTTCAGTGGCTTCCACGATTCGATAATCACCATTTGCCTGAGTCACTTGTTGATCGTTTATTGGATTCAAACAGCTCAAAAAGAGATGAACATGACACAGCTCGCGTGGCACAAGCAGCTCGTCTCGCGTGACACTTCGTTGTGGTTTGTTCATGTTTCTTTCTTCTGCTTTTGGTCCACCAAGGGGCCAAGGAATGCTGCGCTCTAAGGCCACTCAAATCTTCTGTTTCACATGGTCTCCAAAACGGGCAGGGGCACCGAGAGAGACAAACCGACGCTTCTCTCTTCGTCGCTTCGCGTAGAGAACGCAAACCGAAAGCGACACACAGAGTGAGAGGGCAAAGCTGTCCGGTACTGTAGTCTTCCTTTTCTTTGCAGCGATGTCCTCCAATAAGCGATGGCCTCCAACCTAGTAGCGATGATGAGATGGAATACCTCTAGTTTCGTACAGGGGTCAATCTCACTTGCAGACTGTCAGGCATTAAGTTGCACTGAAGTACTTGGTTCTCCGTCCCTCTGGGTATACCAACAGACATTTATATAACAAGGCTCCCTTGTCAGTTTTACAGATAAGCAAGACTATAACAGCCTGGCTATTCTAAATTGCCCAGTTGGGTGGGGTCTTCTGGCACCGATTCAGTCATGGACATTCCCAGGAGCCTAACAGACTCACCGAGCAGGGGCTTGCTGACCGAGCGCACTGGCCACGGACTTGGATCGCTGAGAAGAATTCCCACCACTGGGTTTTCAGCTGGGAAAGAAGAGCTTTTCTTTGAGGCCATTCAGATTGAAAGCAGTATGGCAGTATAATTGCATGCAACCAGAAGCGTACCTGTTACCTTGAGAACCAGATTTCACATGTAGAACATCTCGCGGGGCCTTCCCGCTCCTCCTCTGAAACACCTTGACTGGCACTGGGGAGTTGTGGTCAGAATCAGAGGGCTCGCAATGCTTCAGGAGCTCAGATGGCAAATCCACTCGCGCTCTCAAATGAGATCTGCGGAAATTCATTGCCTTCTCTGAGCCAAAAGAAGTGCCTGATTCAAATGACAAGACACTTGACCGACCGAAAAAACAGCACGCTTAAGGGTGTAAACTTTAGACTTGGCAACATCGACGATGGTGTCATGGCTCAGCAATCTCCAGCGAAGGTCCGCGTTTCATTGAGCTCTGTACAGCTACCGTGGAAAAAAGATGGGAGGCCATATCGTGGTCGCTTTTGTGTGAAAGTCATCGACGGCGCTGATGATATCTGATGTCACCAACAGCGCTATCTGATTGGAAAGGTGCTGTTGGGATCTGCATACCTTTGGCCAGAATCCCCCCACAAAGCCCAAGGAAAGATCATGATGTCCCCCCTTTTTCCACCATCACTTCTGGATCGTTTTGACCACCGGATGCTCGATGGTCTCGACCATCTGGTCACCAGGTGTTGGTCGTCGGACGGACCCGCGGACGGACCCTTCGCCAGGTATTTGGTCTCCCCAGGTGACATGGCCGTCGTGCAGGTGTGGCTGAACGGGAGGTCCCGTGGGCAGTGGCCTCCAGGGGCCTCGGCCTCCAGGGGTAGAGTGTAGTGGGAAGTGGACACAGCTTGTAACAGTACTGGATCTTTGGAAGAAATCAAGACTTCATCTGTGGGAGACTGGGGGATATCTGAAAAGGTCTGCATTGATCCACTCAAAGTTCTGAGGAGGGAGTCAGATTGTGACAGATTGGGATGCTCTACTTGTATCCCATGTCATGAAAAGGACAGGCCGTAGGGGCATTGGGCCGGGGCATTGGGCCCCAAAGAAGGAAAGCAACAAATGAGGCAACAGGACCAATCGATTGGGACTGTGAGGACCGCTAGGACCGCTACGATCATCTGCACTCTGTTTTTGCACATCCCATCGAATGGGGCCATGACTGGCTCGCCGAGGTGCGGAAGGTTCCCACGTGATTTTCCGGAGCGACTGGCGCGCCAGCGGTGGCTGAGAAAGTGGCTTTCTGGAAAGGTTCGCTGAGACAAGAGTTGACTCTGAGAAGCCATGTATTCCTGTGAGAAGTTGGACCATTTGATTGTTTGAGCTCCTTTCCTCTTTTCAAAGGCGAGTAGTTGATATTATTTGAAGCTTCTTCCAAGTCTGGAAACACCTTGAGCCGCCGGTGCGCGCTTGTGCTGCAACCAGCCGCCGCGATTTTCGCATGCAGCTCGTTCTGCCATTGCCTCTGCTGTGAGCATCGGAAGATGCTGATCTGCGTCTTAATGGGAGGGGCTTCAAGACCTGCTGTGGGTTTTGGAAGCCTTCTTCACAGGTTTTGGCCTTGGACTCACGCATGTCGCTAGTGATGCTAGTGGCATGCGGAAAGAGAGTGTTGTTGAGAGCAAGTGAGCATACCCTCTGCAGAACAACTTAACTGTAGCAAGCATGCCCTCACGCTTTTTGTTTCTGGTAGTGGCAGCTGAGGGAATGAACCACTGTACACCGCACGATCAGGACGTGGAAAAAGATGGAGAAAGATGTATTTGTTCACCCCGACCGTACTGGGCAAAGAAACGAAATAGAAACGAAAGAGATAGCTGCGAGGTTTGCATCAGTGGGATGTCAAGCTTGACGACTCAAGGGCTGCCAAGCACCCAATATTTGAGGCACTGCCTGCTTTGTCACAAGCAGGACGACCACCCAGAGAGGTTCAAGAGCCAATTCTGGGAAAAAAACAACGAGACATCCGTAGGAATTGATGAATCCATGTGCCACACTTGAGGTGGATTGACTTTTCTTAACCGGTACGGTGGATCTTTCAAGGTTTGGGTTTTACTTTTTGACTCACTAAGATGGAGGTGGTTTCCACCACCTATCGGAACCCGTGCGTTGCAGTGTAGAGGAGAATAGTCATGCCGTCATGCCACCATTTCCATGTTAGTGAGTCAGAGTGTACTGACATCTAACCCCCTGTACCGTGAAGTGCTGATGATACGCGGCCGCGACGGCTCAGAGGGGCGAGCGAAGCCCCGGTCGCTGGCCCTGAGGTGCCCAAAACAGGTGTCGAACATGTCAGGCTTTGCGTGGAAAAGCTTAGGACCCCAATTCATCCGACTCGCACATGAGATTCTCTCAACAAGAGTGGACCGCCTTAAGCCTTAACCTCTGTGTTTGGCTTTGTATCTTCTCCATCTTGCGACATTTGTGAAGTCCTTTTTCAGATAAACGCTGCGTGCCCAGGGGAAGATGTCAAGCCCCACGCCGTGACCCTCGCTGCACTTGCCCTTTCAGAAATCAAGACTTGCCTTTCGTCGCCTTCCTGTGATCCGGAAGGAGATCTCCGGAGAAACCAGCGCAGGTCACCGACGATCAAACATCAAACATCAAACCAGTAGACTCACTGAAAGCATGAGGCCCAAAGGGCCGGAGCCAACGTCTTGCATGGCATACGTCTGCAGGTACATAGGCAGCAAGATCAGCCTGGTCTCCAACTCGGAGATCAGGTATGAAGGTGTTCTTTACACCATCAACACGCAGGACCGGAGATGGGCTCGTGACACGGAATTCTTCCCCACATGGGATGGACGATTCTTTTTTCGACGTCAGTGGATGTCAATGGTTCCGGCAAAAGACATTTCTGATTTCAGAGCATTTCTGAGGCATTCTGCATTCACTATTTGAAAAAAACATCGTTTGCACCTTTGGCATTCTCCGCGTGTGGCATTCTGTGATCACTGTCCTCACCGTTGAACAGCGCTGTAGTTGTCGTTCTTGTCGTCATTCGAAGAGTTACTGTACCCATCCAGGACGGGTGAACATACGAACATACCAAAGCCTGGTAGATGTGACGATGTGACTACCGGACTAGTAATGACTTGAGTTGACTTCTTTTTGCCCATTTGTTTCGGCCATCATTGAACTACGCGAGGAGTCAACCATAGCGTTGCAGTCTGTGAGATGTTTTGGCACGGAGGGAAGGAAGACGTCGGGGATCTTGGCAAGGACGTGGGATCTTGTCTTGGCTACTTCTGGACTAGTAGAGAAACAGTTTCAGGCATCCACACTCTCATTCTTTTTTTCCGCTTTTCTGGGACTCAAACACGTTTTGCGTTTCTAGTTCGACGAGCCGAAGAAGCACCTGTCCACCGTACCCTATCGAATCTATCGACTCAGGGACTAGAAACATGTTTGTGGACCAGACAAAAGTCACGAGACTTGCTGCACCCACTCGAACATTGGCTGTCTTCCGGCTTTCCTGTTGTGCTGGGGCCAGCGCTTACAGAGACCACACACCTATGCCACATGACTCTGACAACCGACTTCAGGAAAGGCAGAACCTGGCAGACCCACCCGAAAATTACCTCAAGCCTGTTTATCATTGGCATTGATGTTTACAGTACCTATGGACCGCAAAGCAGGCTTGACACGGTTTCGTTGTGATGCAACCCTCTTGGGCTACCTCACCGAGGTGCCAGTTTTACTGCTGATTCTTGGTTTCAGCTTGCACTTCCTTTGTTCTATGATGTGGCATTCCTTGAGCTTGGTACAAGTTGTTGCCCATGTGGCTTGCCGATCGCAACCAGGCCTGAAATCCCGCCATCCAATGAAGTTTATGACTTCATCATCTTTCGCGGTCAGGCTGGGTGTGAGCTCAGTGGTTCCCCTTAGACAGGGACAGTAGCTCACCTTCACGCCCAAGAATATGGCCTTTCAAGCGGAACCATGGTTTTCATGCCATCTGCCTCCATCTCCACGGAAGTCCAATTTGGTCTACATCCAATACTTTTCTCATCACCCTGAGCCATTTGGCAGGACATCAAGGACCTCACAGTGCTGGAATCTGGAAATCCAGCCGTGTCTTGGCACCATGTTTGCTTGGTTGGTGGGGCGGGGTTTGTTTGACGTTGAGCTGACTTCACACAGAGATGCCAACATGACAATAAGATACACCAACCTTGAAACATTCAGACGCAACAAATATGAAAATACTAATTAAGACATGATACAGTTGTCAAAGGTGATAGAAAGGTTGTTTTGACTTCCGGTTCTTCTAAAGCTGCTCAAAGGAAGCTCACAAGGTCTGATGATCTTCCTGCTCCATTATTGTCGCATCAACATCCGTCAGCGTCGGTGGTGAAGTTTGAGACATGCCTCCTCTTCGCTGACTGCTCCACCATCTCATGGCTGTGAAATCAATTAAGTGGGAAGAATGACCCCCAAGCATCGTCGTGTGCCACGCCCTGTGCCACGTGTATGCCGAAAACAACGCACCCAGATGAACGATCCTGCGATCTTGTCTGTGAACAAGTCACCCTGGCTCGCTTGTAGACAACGGACCTGAATCGGACCTTTGTTTTGCTTGCACAACGATGCAGAAGGAATCACGAGGAATCTCTGAAAGGGCTACAAACCACTTTCAATCTTCAAACACCTTCAAACTAGGGCCTTAGGGTGAGACAACACGGCAACTTGCAGATCAGGAACCTGAGTCTCGCAGTCTCTCAGTCACTGATGGGATCACATGCTCCGGCCCATCGTGTGATTTGTGCCAGGGCCCCTGCTAGCAAAGGCGAAGGCCTTCTGAAGGTTCCTTGGCGTATGTGGGGTGAAGTGAAGTGAGCAGTGTCAAAAACCGCTCACGAACCGTATAACATATCGTAGACCAGTTTTTGACACCGCTCAAGTGACCCGTTCAGCGACATGTGTCCTGAAGCGAAGGGGTCACTGTGACCGATCCGATCCACCGGCCGTGACCGTCACGGTTCGTTCGGTCCGATCCGATCCCCCGATCACGTCAGGGGATTTTTCCATGGGCGAAAACGACTGCCTTGGGATGGTTACCTTCTTGGCTTGGAGCCTGGCATCGAGATCGATCGACTTGAAGTCAACTTCAACAACCGGTGACCCGGGGTGAGGGACATTTGCCGGCGCCGGACGTGACATTTCGTGGTGGGGCAGACCCGGTGGTGAGGGTATGGGGATGGCACTTCGGTCGGCAGAAACCATCAGAAACCATGTGGATAGAGGTCTTCTCCTGCCTGGATGTCGGCTCAAGGACCACATTGAAGACTATGGCATATGTTGAGCTCCTTTAGAGTTCTCCGAGGGTCCCCACTCTTGCAGACAGCGACCACTCCTGGCAGCTCTTTTTGACTGCACAGATTTTCATTCATCCCGAGGGTCTGGAGAAAGGCGGCAAGGCGGGTCTGCTGATGAATCTCATGCTGAGTCCAGGAATCTGGGAACGGTCGCAAGAATCACGCCGTTGTTGACCATCTGCCATTGGGCTCAAGTTTCTGAAGTTTCAGCACACCCAAAGTTGTGTGCACACCTGATCAAGAGACTTGAGGTCAAAGCTGACATAAAGGTCTAGATCATCACCAGAGCAGGAGATTTCGATCATTTGAATACACCCTTGCACTTCTCTTTGAGATCCTGAGAACGCCATTCATCCAATACCAAAGCAATACCTACCGTCTGTCTTGCTCTTCTCCCGTTTGGAGCTCAGAAATGATTCTGGCACCAACACTGAACTCGCCTGCGCGGCTGAGAAGCTTCAGGTTTCAAGGGCCAAAGATGTGGTTGGTGGAACCCTTTCTTCGTTGTCGGCGACCGGATGAAGAGGAGCGGGATGGATTGGGACATCAGGGGGCGTGGAGAATGTTGCCTGGCTCGAAGGAAGTTCAGCCAAGACCACTTAACAAAGAAACGAGGACATCGTGTCAGTTTTTGAAAAGAGGGTCGGGAAAGGCACTTTGATTGGGATATATAGTTCAGATGCTTGCACTGCACAGCCAGCAAGGCATTGATGTTTGTACGACATTGTACGACAACGACAACAGTCGGCAAAGGTGAGGTGTGCATATGACGGACGGAGCACTGCCCAGAAGCGTGTGCTCTCCCCACTCAGACTTTTGGCAGACTTCCTCACGAATGGTTTCGTAAACTAAAAACTAAGCGAGACAAGTGCCTGGGAGGCCTTGGGTATTGGGAAGGCTTAGGAGGGTGTAGCGTAGGGCGTAGGGTCTTGTTGTTTTTTGGCCAAAACTTTAGAGATCAGCTAGCTAGAGCTCTCTCTCTCCCTCTCTCTCTCTCTCTCGCTCGCTCTCGTGGGCCTTTCATGTCTCCGCCACTCCCTCTCAGGACGCCCACGAACCTCATCTCGGGGTCGACCCCGTCAGCTTGCTGGTGCGGTGCTTGGGCGCCGTTGGGGAGAAAGGTGCTCCGGGGTTCAGTGACGTCCCGAAAATGGGTGCCTGTGCAGGTTGGGGAGGTTTCTGGTGGTTATTTTGCTCTTTATTTGCTTCAAGGCTTGGACACCGCAACCTGAAAGCTCTGCAACCGTTGTTTTCTCGGAGTGGCGTAAGAACACGCTCGTGTGAAGATCGGTGGCAGGGATTGCTGCATGAGAATGTGTGGCTATGCTTTCAAAAAGAAATCCTGTCTTGACCCAAATCCAGAAGCCACGTTTTTTCATGTGGCATTCTCGGCTTTGGGGGTCATGAGAATCTGTGGATTTGACCGCGTGACTCTCAAGGGTCTCCCTGTTTTCACCCGAATCCGCCGCTGAGCCCGTTCAGAGCCCTCTCGAGGCCGCCCAAAGTTTCATCGAAGAGTCCAAGGTGCTCGCCTGTCCAACGTGTGGTAAAAACGGCGTCCGATGGGGGTGGCCGCCCAAAAGGAACGAAGTATGGGCCTTCCAAAGGTGAGTTCCAAAGATTATGGGGATATGGGGATATAGAATAGTAGCTTGTATAGGATCAAAGCATTTGGGTTCTTTGGGGGCATACAGCTGATGGACAGTGGTGCCGAACTTCGATCCACCCAAAACTCTATGTACTTCTTCAGAGATTTCCCAACAAACACCGCTTCTTCACCCTTCCACGCCCTCCACCCGGGATCGATTTTCATCTGACTTCCAACCCAACCAACCCAAGACCTGCTCTTCCCTCCTTCGCAGCACCCGTTGGCTCCACGCCCTACCCGTTCGCTCCATGCCTTGCCTGGCACCGACAGGGCCGCTGTGACGTGGAGAGCGCGGAGCCCTTGGGCCCCACGGCCTCGGCGCTCCAGGGCGCCCGGGCGAAGGCAGCGCCGCCCACGGAGGTGTCCGTGCCGGTGCCACAGGCGGGGGGAAGATGGAGAAGGAGGAGAGTTGCAGGTTTGGAGGAAAGTGATTTGTGATTGGGAGGTGGATATTAGGATATGTATAGTGAGAGGTCATGAACTGACGAAGGCCTAATGTTGCTACTACCCAGCATGATATCCAGTTTTCTTTCTCTGTCGAGACTGGAAATAGACATGTGACACCTAATTAAGCAGTGAGATGCCTTGTGCGGGATCAACACTTGAGCTATCCCAGAACCAGCAGGACTTTGTGCCTGGAAGCTTACTGAAAGCCAACGGGCCACCTGGACGCAGCGATGGCTCAGATTCCTCAATGACAACCTGAAAGAAGTTGGCCGCACACCGTGGGCGGTGACAATGGGGTCAGTGGAAGGCTTATTGAATCATCCATCTCGACGCTTTTTTTTCCCGATTCTCTCTACTCACCTGGCTGTACCTCCGCTCAACGGGTCTCGACAGCTTGCTGCATCCATTCAACAAACCCAATGCCATCTTGGAACAAAGACTTCTTCTCCTCTCGTGTCTAGAGTCTAAAGTCTCCCCAAACTCCTTTGGCAGACAGAGCTGCAGAATCACATTTTGACAAACACACGATGTGCACTTACTGTTTGACGGGTGTTTGTCATCACTGGTCTCCTGGAAGAGTACCCCGCCGATCTTCTGCCTGTGTCTCGAAACGCTCCCTTAAGGCCCTTTGGTGTGGTCTCAGTGACACCGCCACCCGGGGTGCAAGGTGGAGAGTGCCTTGATGCAGAATATGGTTTCTTTTGTTTATTTTTGGACCTGGTGGTGAGTGGACCTTTGGAATGGGAAGTGATGGATGTCTGGATGCACTATGCTTCTTAGGTTGTGTTTTTAGTGCAATCAACTAACCGTGATTCTGAGATTCTCAGACTGAGTGACCCTCATCCAAAGCAGATCTTCTGAGTTGGATGTGACATCACCCTTGGAACGGCCTTTTCACTGAGGGTGCTCCGCTTCCGGATGGCGCCACCTAGCCAGCTAGGCACTCAGAAGAGGTTTCAAGAGTGCAAGGCGACATCAAAAGTTTTGGTTCTCTTGATAGGGATGGACATACATGCGGATGTGGAGAATACATGTGATATATGTCATTATATGTCATTATGTATATAGTCGAACAATCAGATCAACAAAAGACATCCTATACTTGCGGGATCATATGTTCGTGCCTCATCGCTATCCACTTTTGGTCTGTCTCCATGAAATCATGGGGACCATCGGCTGGAGGTTCAAGATTACGGTGCCACCTTGGGCCAGGGGAGGCTACAAGGCGGGGCAAAGTGGCTAAGGAATGGGGCCCAAACCGATTTGATGGGAACCTGGGGATCATTTGAGCTGTTTCTGCACAAGGGGAAAAGTGTGACATGGTTTTTTGGGTGGAAATCTGGCGCCATGTTAGCTTGCCTTATTTGACATTCACGTGGGGAGGTAAAACTCATCTGACAGAGGCCCCCTGCTCAACGCTGCGACAAGACTCCAAGATACCCCCTCTTTTTCGGCCGTCAAGGTCTAGCTGCCGAAGTGAACAGTATCATTTCTCAGAGTTGATTCCATTTTGTTGTTGCGGTAGTCACTGGATTGGATGCGGTAGTTATTTCCAACAATATCATTTCTCAGATTTGCTGCGATAGTCACTGGACTGGACCTTGATTCCACTGAGTTGCCTGATCCATCAGGCCCAATTTCACCTGGATGATGGAGAAGAAGTCAGCGTGGCTTGCCTGCAGATTTCCAATCCTTGAGCAAAGCAGTTCAAGAGGACCAGCCTTTTGACACATCAGAGCCAGCTTGGTCCTTCAATTAACAGAGACAAATCCAATCCACATCCGCTGAATCCTTGATGCCTGAGTAATTACAGCAGCAATCCTGCAATGCTTCAAATGTTCAGTAATCTCCATGGTCCATTATTTTTTTGGAGGAATCTGTAGACTGCAGCATTGACTGACCCTGGTGTCAGTGAATCGGATAGCAGAAATCACATGGTCCTTGCTTAGCCACCGGCCTTTTCTTCCCCGTTCACCCCCAAACCAGCACTTTTGGACCTGCACCATGGTGTCCGGCGATCACTGTGCAGGTGAAGGTCCCAGAAGGACTGCAGCCCGGAGACACCTTTGAGGTTTTACCTCCTGCGATGATGGTCCAGCTGTCGGACGCCCCATCGCTCGAGCGTGCACGCGCAAACCTCGTGCGCGTCGGTGTTTCGCTGAGTGCTGCTGTCCGAGGGGCCAAGTAGGGAGACGTTCCGGAAGCCGCCTGAAATGATCCTGGGAGCTTTGACCTGGTTGTGGTGAAATCTCATCCGAAAGAAGAGTTACGTACTAAGATCTGATCGGTGGGATTGATATCCCACCGTAGAGACTCCAGCCACCTGCCATGGTTGCAAGTCCGAAAGACATGTCCAAACACGTGGCTGGCAGACGAACGCCGCTCCATTTTGGGGTCTTTGGGAGTGTGAAGACCAACGTTTCAGTCACCCCGCAGTCGCCAGAGACCGAAGTCGCCAGATCAGTCGCGCCGTCGCGCGGCGGAACCGGCGGAACCTGCTCCACTCTGCTAGGCCCGAGGGCTCCAAGCCGGGTGAGAAGATCGTCTTCTGGAGCGACGCCAAAGGAGCGGACGAGCCCGCCCGAGCGCCATGATGGCGGTTGGGCCCTGGATGGGAAGGTACGTGAAGGGGTTTGGGGTATGGGGATTTCTGATCCCAAAGGGGAATGAACTGTGAGAATCATGATCTGTGGGTGAAACAGGAGTTATAGTATTTATAGTAATATGGAATACAAGAAGTTGTGTTCCAATTTTGCAAGACAAGGTTGTAGTGGAGTGGTTCCAATTTCAGGCATTACTCTTTCAGGAAGGAAGACCTGAACCATCCTGAACTATGTGACGAGTGCACCATCAGACAGATCTGAAACTGCAAGCGAACCCTCCAAGGCTCATTAGGACCATCTTACAGAATAATGATAGGCTCAACGCGAATCCCGCGTTCCTCGAATATGTGCCACCCGTCTCCACTCGTACTAATCTGTCCTACGAAGCACCGAGCACGTCGCTCGGACCGAGCTGCGCGGCGCCAGGAAGTCGCTGTCCCGAAGGCTGGTATCGCATCGAGGTCCCTGAGGAGCGGCCGGGTGAAGACTATTATTTCTATTTGCCCATTGTAAATACAAAACAACAGCTTTCTGACAGGTTGAGTGCATTCATTTTCCATGCAAGTCAGTAGAAGTACACTGGTACAGTACGGTACACCTGCAAAAAGAAAAAGCACCTCCACCCGGAGGATCGACTCTTGAAAGATGGAAAAAGTATCACAACTTTGATAGACTTGGTATACTTCATGCAGATGCACTGATTTGTGCTTTGGCCTGGAAAGCTTCATTTTGGACCTTGACCTTGTTGTATAACTCGTTGTGTAACATGTACATGGTGTCTTTCCATGTGTTTCCTCTCCCAAGGCATTCCACGCTTCCCCTTTTCCTTGCCCAGGGCCACGCGCCGGGCTCCGTCATCTCCGTGCGGATTCCGGCACTGTCGCAGGTCATGCAAGGCCGGAGGTCGGGCGGACACGTGCAGCGCTGACTGTCTGGGGTGGCAGGAGGTGACCGAAAAAGGAAACAGGAAACGCGTTGTGGGCGCATGCACTTTGTTGAAACTCTTCTTTGCGCAGCCGATGGACGGAGATGTATATCCTTTTGAAAGGACCTTTGTGGGGATAGGACCAGGGTTTGTGGAGAAAGATTACTCGTCTTGTGACTTGGGTGTGATATGTTGATCCATCGCAAGGTTTCGAAGGTCCCGGTTCAACTGGTTGAGAAAGGCTAACCATTAAATGTTCCACGGACATATAGAAGGTCCAGGGCTGGAGGATTTCGCACTGGTTTTGCAGCTTTGTAGATACTCAGAGTTTTTGCTAAGTCGAAGTCTCGCCATGGCTGTAGAGAGCTCACACCGTCCACAAGCAACCTTGCACCATCCATTTCAGTGGGTCGAGTGATGTGGAGATGATACGGCGCCGGTCGGATACCGCAAATATGGGGTTGGCCCCGCCAATCTCCGCTGGGGCCACTGCGACGTCGCTCAGATCACCTGCTACCACCTGCAGCACCAGCCGAAGATCCACTGCCACGTGTGAGTTTGAGTGCTGTGGCGCCTGAAGGAAAGTGAAAGGTCAAAAGGAAAGAGAGCGCCCGCAGCAGATCTGCCCCTTTCGATTTTGGGGCAACAACTTGGGATACCGATCTTCTGAAGCCTTACGGAACAAAGAAGTCCATCAAGAGATCTATCACCACAGCTGTAAGTGGGAGGGTCCACAGCTGGAGCTGGTAGGGGACTTGTCACCTGTGCCGTGTGTGCAAGAGCACAGACTCCGTGAAATGCCTTCTTCGTATTCACGGTTTCGCATGAAGGGCTGGTCCCTCTTAGCGGTGTGGCTCATGTCACTTGTCTTGTTGAAGTAAACAGCATGTCTTAATAGGTTTGGCACAGCATCCGAGTCATGCCGCCAGGGTGAGGAGAAGGGGAAGGGAGTGAATGGCTCCAAAGGCTATGATGCCAAGGGTGGAAAGGAGAAAGGCTACGATGGCAAGGGCTATGGCTACGAGAAAGCTTACGATGCCAAAGGCTACGATGCCAAAGGCTATGATGCCACACCCTACGACGCCAAAGGCTATGATGCCAAGGGCTACGACAACAAGGGCTACGATGGCAAGAGCTATGGCAAAGGCTACGACGGCAAGGCCGAGAAAGGACATGAAAAGGGCCATGACGGGAAAGGTTATGGCGATGGCAAAGACAGGGCCAAAGGTAAGGATGGCAAGGGAAAAGACGGGAAAGGAAAAGATGGAAAAGGAAAAGATGGGAAGGGCAAAGATGCTCCCAAAGGCCGCGAAGCTCAACTGCTTTTGCTTGAAACAGATTGGATGTGCGAGTGCGTGAGGACAAAACTGAAACGTGTCGGACATCTTTGTTGAGACTTGAACACTCATACATTGTGCAAAAATGAGCACTCGTCTCTAAGCTTGTGTTGGTTGCGGACGAACCAAGCATTTGCAAGCTCTCTTTTTTCATGTTTTCTTTGTTTCATAGAGCGATCCCATTCCGCACTGTTGCTGTGCAGGCAAAGGAGAGAGGGATGCCAAAGGCAAAGATGGAAAAGGGAAGGGAAAAGACCCCAAGGGCCTTGCCAAAGGCAAAGGAGAGGGGAAAGGAAAGGGTGAGAAGGGCAAGGGAAAGGATGAGGAAGGTGAGAAAGGGAAGGGTCGGGAGAAAGGCAAGGGCAAAGAAGGGAAAGGCAAGAAGGGAGAGAAGGGTGAGAAGGGCAAAGGAAGACGGCGTGGAGGCGATCGGAAGAGAACATCGACACGGGATCCATGTGGTTCTGTGTGTCTTCTCGGAGGAGTGAACACGCACAAAAAGCTAAACTACTCAAAGTTGGATGTAGATATGATATAACGTAGGTCAACATGTACATCCAACCAGTTGATCCGCACATCGTTGTTCACCCACTTGAATTGTGTTTGTCGGAAGCTTGGACGCGGAACATGGTGGTGGAACACATCCACATGACGCACACACCGGATGTGCGGCCAGGCAATGGCATCGTCGGTGAGCTTCTGCCGGAGGTCAGGTGGGAGGGCAAGCCCTGGCTTCCACCCGTCACACAGGCAGTTTGGACTTCTTGCAGAACGGAGAAGAAAGAGTAGAAACGACCTGCCGGTTTCATCCAGAAAGTTGATTTCTTTTGGGGGCGAATGAATGACACTCTTAACAATAAACATCAATTAACCATTACCTATCCTCAAGCTGGACGCACTCCTCCCAATAGAGTTACTGTAGGTAGATGAACAAGATGCTTCTTTCGTACTCAGTATCCATTTCTTTCTAAGCACCCTCTTAGTGTGGAGTTTGACCTCCAAGTGGCATCAGCTCGTGAGCTGCTTTAGTGTTTGAAGCGAATGCAGACACCAAGCGGCAATGTGCCGAGGAGATTGGTAGGGAGACCGGTGGGTCCGGCAGCTGGTGGGCCCGGACACCAAAGGCCTTTTTGGCTGGTCGGACATGTAAGGACAACCTAACAGCAAAAGGAATCTAATAGCAATCCATGGCCTCCAACCTAAGAGCGATGGCCTCCAACCGCCAGCTCATGCTGAAAGGTGAAGTTTCCAACAGGGCGCACTGCAAATCTGTGAACATCTCCTTTCTGGTCCATCTTCTTGTGGGCTGCAACCGCTGGTCGAATCGTTGGACATGCATGAAATCTTCGGTGTGGTCTCTCGTGCGAGGATTTTGATTTCGAAGAGTCAGCGCAGAAATTCAACAAGGTGGGGATCTGCCATCTGCCATCGAATCAACAATCGTTCTTCATGCTTGTCGGGGCAGATTCCGACCCTGTGAAGTCACGACTCCGGTCTGCAAGGTCTCTGCAAACGATGATCTGAAGCCCCTGGAGGGTGGCCGGCTCAGTAATTGAAGATGGTGGACCTTTGGGTGCCTGATTTTCATCCGACACGCTGCATGCTAGTGGTGAATTAGGCGTCCTTTGGTTTTGCCACTTTGCAGAGACTCTTTGTGAATGTCACACATGCTGCACATGCTGTCAAACTTACAGAGACTCCTTCGGAACGTACAGCATGGGCGTCTTGCTTCTCGCTTGCGCTGCTACTGACTGCCATTTTCTCCGAAGCATCTCCAAGGATACGACAAGGGCAAGTCCTTCTTTGATCAGATCTCTTGCGAGGCGGAGTCCCAGAGCATGTCCTTTCGACTGTATCATCCTCGAGAAACACACGTAGGCCCACGAGTTGTTCCTGTTCCGAGCGATTCGAAGTGAAACTTGGACGAAGAGCGTCCCAAAAAAACGCCAGAGATATAGGGATAGAGCTCCGTGGGGTCGTTGGGGCCTAGTGTTTGAAACGTTCCGCCCGGCGGGAACCGTCGACGGGTCGCCCCCGTTTCGGTGGGTCACCTGCGGCCCGAGGCAACCGAACGTTCGGGCGAAGCCGGCCGCCATCGTGCTGACCGAGACAAGGTGCCCACCGAATGTCCTTTTCACATGCTACTAGGAGCAAGGACGCTACTAGGGGCTCCTGGCCTTACTACTAGTAACAAGAAGCTACTAGGAACAAAGGGCATCGCTACGAACAGAGCAAGGACGCTAGTAGGTTGGAGGCCATCGCTTCATCTCAAAAGATCCTGCCTCTTCCTGTCTGAGGCGATCGCACATGGACATTTAGATTCTTGTTTATTTAGTAAAGTTGCACAGAACCTTTGCGCCGCACCTGTAGCTACTTCTTACATTCATGCAAGTGTGTCCGTTCTATTAGTGGACACCAACACTCACAATGTCACGGAGGGCTTGGAAGGTTTGTCACTTGTGTCATTTGTCAGGCCTCAAAATCAGGAAACGTAGACAAGTTTGAAGACTTTGCGACACGATTGACATCATGTCCATCTCAGCATGTCTAATTTCTCCAACTAGGGGCCCATGCTAAGTAGGGGCCCCCCGGACGCAGTCCGGTGTTACACCAACTCTTCCTCTCTTGGAGTCTCTTTGGGGGATTTCGAGTTCGAGGTGCCGAGCTGATTCCTAAGCACCCTAAGCTGGCGCGACGGCACAAGCAGGCGGAAGACCACGAAATCTGCAACCGGGTTGAGTCCATGTTCTCACAGCTTTGGTGGAGCCACACCGTGAAGACACGCCATCCAAACTCATCCTTCAAGCATCCTCAAACAATTTAGCGCAGCTGAACATGTGTCCGCAAAGAAGCAGCTTATCCAAATCCAGATCCAGATTCGTTCTATCCCAAACTAGATCCCCAAGCAAGCACTTGCTATAGCTACCTGTTATTACCTGGCAACAAGTTGTTAGGGAGGCTTCCACTGTGCACACCGCACGCGAAGTCGGAACGCACTCCTCAAGGCCTCACGCCTTTTCTCCATGGCGAGCCGGTATGGCTTGAATTAATCCCGCCCACTTGGGGCAACACAACCAAGCTCAGTCAACTGCAACGAGTTTGAGCGAACTTGACAGGGATTAGATTAGGGTATAACTCGGTATGACCTGCTCTACCAGGGTTCTGGTCGTTTGCCGAAGCCGTGGCGTGGCACCCCCCAGGTGCGTGACGCCGACCGGGCCGCCTTCGGCGAGTCCAAGCAATGAGGCGGAGCTGCGGCGGACAGCTCCGGCGACCGGTTTTGTAGAAAGACAAAGAGAAGTTGTAACCGGTGCGACAATAAGAAGAAACAAGAACAGAACATCATTAGCTTGGAATCATCATGTTTCTTGCTTATTGTTAAAGTTTTGAATCTATAGTTGGATGTTGTTTTTTGGGTGGAGTTGAAGGACCGACTTTCTGCCAGAAAAGCTTACAGTTTGCAAGCGACTTGAGCTCCACGTCACCCTCACCCGAGCGCGTCGATGAGAGGGGGAGCTCGTTGGAGGGTTTTGGGAGGGAAGCCAAAGGGGACCGAGACTCCCGCTTTTAGTCTGGGTGAGTTCCACAAATGGTTGTGGGGCCCGGAGCTCGTTTCTCCCTGGTAGGTTGACCTCCAGTATATAGGTTGCTGATTGTGTTCATTTTCGCTGGTCCGGGCTTTGACCCACTTCGCCAAATACCATGGTTCAGTGATCCGAGTTTCAGATGGGGTTTGCCAGGAGTGGCTGGTCAACATTCCAGCGGCAGGGATCCATTCTTGAAACGGGATTCCTGAGTCATCTTGTCCATGGGATTCGGCCATGAAAGGTTCCCCTGTACATAGTAATTGATATGAGCCAGCCTACCAAGAAAGATCCCCGCAGCCTCCAAAGCTCTTGTCACGCTTGTGGGTTGCACCATGAAGCCCTAAGCCATCCAAAGCCATCCAAAGCCTCTTACATGATCTTGAACACAATCCCTGGGTGCTTCGAAGAGGCGTCTCTCCACCATGAAAAACTACAGAAAGGCAGAAGCTGACAACTATCAGCAGCTCTTGTGACATCCCTCAACCATCTGGAAGCACTGCATACGAGGAGTCACTGCATACCATCGCTCGCCGATTCACCTTTTCGGGCATCCTCGCAGGGCTACTGAAGCGGAAGATGAGCTTTGCCGTCGGCAACCTCATGGCAGAAGCTTCCTTTTGAGTGCGGATCTATTTGGTATTGCATTGGCCCATTGTCAAAGTCATTTGAGCGAAGAACAGGCAAATCAACCCTGGAGATTGACAGACATAAAATACCGCATGTTTCTCACTGTTTGCCTCATTCTTAAGATAGCAGGACAGTACACCCCATTGTCGAACAGCGTGCAGCAATGGAACCTGCCAGCGGTTGGGTCCGCGAGCAAGCACCTGACTTCAGCATTTCAGTAGCATTGGAAGCTTCAGCTGCTTAGCTTTGGCATGCAAACGGATTGGGAAGTAGCGTCTAGTCAAGGGCCCAATATAGGCTGCTCCATCCACCAAATCCCGGAGCTCTTTTGGGTGACGCCGGCGACGCCAGCGGCGGGACGGGGGAGGCTTGTCTCAAGGTTTAACATCTAAGAGCAACCTTGCTATATCGTGAACCAGTAAGGCTGTTTTGGGAAAGGTTTGAACAACCCTGCCAGAAGCATGATATAAGTTGTTCATGGTTGTTCACAAGAACCATTTCTTGAAGACCAATCTCCTTCAACGATTGGCAGTTGGTCAGTAAGCAGCGATCCTGCTAGCACTCTTCAATTAGACATCCCTTGCAGCAGAGCAGCAGCTTGGCTGATCCCACGCACTCGCCTTCCATGAAGGAGGCGTTAGGTGCACTGGACAGAACCGACAGGTGGCCCTGGCATCCCTCGATGCCGATTTTTTGGGGCCGCCGTGGTCGAATGCAGTTCGCGCGTCCACAGATCTCCTCCAACTGGCGATGATCGGACGAAGGGCTCATGATTGGTGCTGGGGTGAAGAGATGCACGTGACGAAAAGCAGCACTTGGTTCCCTTAAGCTCGTACTGGCTTGGAGAACAGCCTAGAATCGATGGCCTCCAACCTACGAGCGATGGCTTCCAATCCTACTGTTGTACTTCTCAAGTTCTTGCAGAATATTTGGGAGCATTCTTCGATTGAAGCCGATGAAAGAACATGAAAGAACCTGATTCGCCTTCGCTTTTACCATGACCGCCATGAAACTGTCTACTCAGTCTACATCAATGGGCTGTTAAGATCATGGAAAGCGAGCCATGGTCCAATGCTGGTGCGGCCGAGACTGTGGTTGCCAAAATCCTTGGGTGACTCTTGACTGCTTCGATGCTAGTCATGTCCTGTCCAAGGTGTACAATCACGAAGAAGATGGGGAAAAAGGTTGCCGGGCGCATTGAGATGCTCCGCGGGGCAGTCGAATTTCCTTTTTCAGGGTTGCAGAAAAAAGGAATCATCATAAATAACAGGAAGATATGAAGATAGCGCCATACGCGTCCTTCGTTGCAGCCTTGTTGCTGCACAGCTTGAAGAATCATCCACCAGGCCAACAGAAGTTGTTCTGGACAGGCTGCTGCCATCCAATAGGTAGACTGCTTTCAACATGGGGCAGATACACTTGCTTTGTTGCCACCGAATAGGGAACCGAGCAACGGTTGCAACATTTCTGGGGAATAGCTTCCAAGTCGGCCAATCGCAAGGGGGGTCTCGCTGCCTTTGATCATCCGGTCTCGTTGCCCGTTCAGTATAACTCGCTCGCTCGTGCTTTCATTTAGGCCCTAGAACTGACACATGTGGTTTGGATATGATTGCTTCGTGGTTGCGTGGTTGCTTTTTTTTTCCTCTCTCTCTCTCTCATTCTTGCATGCTGGTGTATCAGGAAACTCGCTCCTCACTGGAACACTCTCGCATCGACTTCCCTAGGGGGCATTTGTCGGCCGACGATTGTGTCAAGATTTGCCAGTCACACATGCTCGTGCCATCTGCCGTCAAAGGGACGTAGTTTAGGAGAGGTTGGACAGCAACTGACATGCAAGCACGAGTGAGAGACATAGGCTGTTTTTACCAAGTATTTACACACTAGGAACACAGCTTTGACTTATTGCAGCCTTAAATCTAGACAACCTGGATGAGATTGACAGCGAACACACCACATTGCCAGAGAGATTCGCCACGTGATCACGGCCGGCGGTGTAGACAGCGCCGACCTTTGCGGCCGTCCACAGCGACACCCAGGCGTCGTGAAAGGACTTGAGATGTGCGCGTGATGAGGGTTACTAGTAGCGTCCTTGCTCCTAGTAGTACGGCCAGGAGCCCCTAGTAGCTTCTTGCTCCTAGTAGCGATGCCCTTTGCTCCTAGTAGCTTCTTGGGGATGCATGCTTTGTTGAGGCATCATGACGTGTCATGGCCATGTTGGGTACGCAATGATTCTTTTTTAGGGGTCCATTTCGGTACGTAGATGGTCAAACTAGTAGCTGTTCTTTTGGGGCGAAGGAATGACTCTTGTCTCCCAATGCATCCCGATGCGTTTGTGGAATGCATGAGGAAATGATGCTTTTGAATGTTTTTGAAGCTTGAACAGCCAAGATACGGAACCATCCAATCCATGCAATGCTCACGGGGGAGCTTCTTCGAACTGTTCACTTTCAGCTTCCCCACAACGGAGCTGTTCTTTTTAGGTCTGAAGAGACCGCCAGATGTCGCCACAGACAGACTGCATCATAAGCAACTACAAACAACTTCCCATGCGTCAAATCTCCACGTCACAGCCTGAAATTTCGACTTGTTGTATGTTGTATGTGGATCTTGTCATCCACCGTAAATGTCTTACTGCTCATCTAGGCCATGTTCAAGACCGCTGGCGAGATCACCACCGACTCCGACGAGGTTTGGGCGGAGCAGACCGGAGGGAAGACGAGAAAGAGCGACAATCGGTCACGGTGACACCGCTTTCGGTTGACCACCTGGAGCCGTCCACCAGGCTTGACCGTGACGTCACATCGGTCAAGCCAGGTCTGGTTAGGACGAGCCACAGGCATTTTGGTTTGGGTATGGTTGGTCCCAAAAAGGTGGGTCATGTGACGGTCATGGTGTTCTTCTTGGTGCGGTCGAAGCAGGTCTTTTCATGGGCCCCCCGGGCCCCGTTAGGCCGTTGGTTTGGTTCGCGGCCGGCGTGAACTGGTTGGGTGGGGCCTTGTGGTTTCTGATGTTTCGGGGGCTCTACGTGTGGTTTGACCCCCCTCCCATAGTCGATGGATTTAAAATACAGGTGTGGCGGGTTTCGATATAAGTGAGTGCACTATTGCTGGGGGTGGTGTCATCATCCTGAATGTATCTGAATGTTATGATCTTGAGAACCTCGCTGGATCTTCACCTTTCAAAGTGCTGAGTCAGAAGTCGCAAATGCTCACAGTTGAATAAAAAGTGAGTGGATCTCCACCTGTTCTTTTTAGGGGTTTGGGATGTTCACTTACTCCCCACGACGAATGTCCTCAACGTCCGATCGAGCTCCGTCGTTCGACCGTCCAGGACTATTCCGAGATCTCTGGCTCAGACAGAGACGAGGCGGGAAGCGGGAAGATTGGAAAGATGCGACCCGGTTTTGGCTGCTGAAACGGTGAGCGTGCGCCAAGTGTGACAACTGGTGGCCGAATGGTGTATTTCCCGAGGATTCTGTCTCAAGTGTGACAACTCTTTGTGCGTCTTTTGGTAGAAGAGCAGGGTGCCACTAGTCACTAGTTTGGCTATATGGTATATTTTGGAGCAGCACATCCAAAGCAAGATGAAACCTGGAACATACCTGTTGGTATACACGAGTTGAGGTGGGCTCTATCCTAGCAATCCATCATAGCCGAAATCAATCGGAAAAACGGCCGAGCCGGACCATGGGGGTTTGCATTCCATTTTGGTCACTTCCTTTGAGTGACCTCCAGCACTCTTTTTGCCACCTCATGATACCCCAAGGTAGTCCTGACCAGGACCCGGAAATCCGGCCGCTTGGGATGCAGGAGATCACATGGATCGAGTGGTTCTGCCACTTGAAGGCCGGACATGGAGAGTGGAGTTCACTCCATCTCAAGACTTATATATACCCTCTTGAGATGGACTTCTGTTCTACCGCTAAGCTGCCCAGCTGTTGTTCTCCTTGGCCACACCACCTCACTGTTTTTTTGTTCTGATGTTTGTAAGGCAATCGAACACAGTTTGATCTGTGCTGAACGCGGGGGTGCCTGTATGGTTTGCTACCACGGGGTGAGAAGGATTTGCATATCAAAGCTGACAAAAGCATCCAACATGTCAGGGCAACGAGTTCTTTGTGGAGGTGGATGAAGATTACATTCAGGAGAGATCCGGACATATCCGGACTATCCGCCTTCAGACACTGACAGTGGTGGAGGCTTGGTGAGTGTTTGTAAGGTGAAGATGTTGAAGTTCTCCGCCATGCAACACCGACGGGCTACATGCTTGCATCAACGGGCTGCAGTATTCAGAGAGAGATTGCGGTTCTTCCCAACCTGAGCGTGATATCATATTATGTAAATTATATCATATCCCTATAATCCATTCAAACCCGATTTTGATAGGAAAAGACCGTATTGGGTGGTTGGTGATCCAAATTGGAGGTCACCCAGGTTCTAGCATTCCAGGTGATATGAGCCTTGTGAGTGTATCACGCCCATGTCCAACCTTGCTCGAGAAGATGAGACCCAGTGCCGCTTCTTCGGAAACGCAGATCGGTCTTCGTTTTCCTTCAGGTGATGATGCAAATCATTTCAAGGAATCCTCATTGATACTGTCCGCTTTCCAGCCGGTCTTAGAGTCTGCTAGAAGCTGCTTGAGCACTCAAGAAGTGGGCACATTCTAACGTGTAATTTGACGGTGGTAGCACAAAGTCCCAAGCTCAATCTTTTGTCTCTGCCCACCATACAGGTTTCCCGACAAACAGCCCAGGGTCAAGAGACCTCGAGGGGAGGTGCTTGATCATAAGGTGCTTGCATAATATTGATTGTTGATCAATAGCACCTTTGGAGATGTAAAATCATCCAGGGTCCGGGGTGGGGGTGTCTGTCACTGTCACATGAATCAACCGACTACACTAAGTGATGAGCACCTGAAGTGATGCGCCCAACTTTGGTTTGTCGTTGGCAGGATGACTTCAACCTCACTGGTCTCAGTGCGCAGGCTCCCGCGGGGTGAATGGGCAGTGAGCGTTGTCGTTGCGCATGTGGGGAGCATTCTCCACGTTTCGCATCTTGAATGTCCCCTGCCATACTCTTCAGACTCTTTGGTTACTTTTGGAGACTTTTGGAGTGTTCTGGGGCTACGAGGTTTTGAGTCATTACATGTTGCTTCAAGAAGGCCACAAAGCGCTTCGCTGTGCCGTGGAGTTCTATTTTTGTAGGTCGTGGCGTTCACCAGCCACTTGTACACCATCGAGCAGCTTTAATATGCTTTAATCTTTATAGGCAGCCCTTCTGGCCAGTGAGTGCACCCAAACCCTACAAACGCAATAATATAACTACTAACTATTAATAATATTCATATACTAATCGCAATATAACCGCATCTAGCTTTTGGAATCTAGTCGTACTTTAGCAGCTCCTTCTTATTGATATGTAGTCGATCTTCCTGTTGAGCTTCGAATCGAATTTGCGCAGGTTCCATGTTATGAAGATGCACTGAATATGATCCTGGATTTCGATGATCAGGATGACCAAAGCTTAGCACAGCAGACCTGCACATGCGGCTCTCTGATTTTGATGCCCAGTGGCCAGTGGCCGCCTGGTTCTTGGGTTCTTGGTGAGGTGTATCGCAACTGCTTTTCTCGCTCGACTCGAGTTGTTGCGAACAATATCGAACAATACAACATGTAGTTGGCCTTATTGGCATCGCCAGGTGCTCAATTTTTTGCTCAGAGCTAACTTCATGTTTCAATTGCATAGTAAAGGATGCTATTTCACCGGTCTTTTTGGTTTTTCCCTCCCCGGGATGTCTTTTTGGTCGTCATGTTTCAATGTCTTTTTGGTTTCCTATCTTCATGTTTTCCCTCCCCGGGATGCGGTGACATTGCCTGAGGATTCACGAGTGCAAGATGATCAGCAGCCCCTAGTGCTCATCCAAGTGGGTATCGTTTAAAGTACGGGCTGAACGCATCTGGAATTCTCTTTTACCTTCTTAGTCAAATACCAAGCATGAGACATGTTTGGTGGTGACAAGGAAACACCAAAACGCGCTGCAACCGTTCGCGATTGAATTGCGATTGAACTGTTGTTCCAGGTGGAAACTGCTGCGCAGATGCTCTATGGGTCCTCCTGACATCTGTTCCTTACACTCTTTGCAGTCTGATGGCGCAGTCGGATGGCGCTCCTCGCGGTTCCTCACCTTGGTTCGGTCGTGTTCTTCCAAGCGGCCCATTCACTCGAGCCCCTGAGTGGCTAAAGCTTTGAAAACCGTTCGGCAGTGGAGGCAGGTGATGCTGCTATCCTCCTTCTAACAATCGAAGTGGATAGCATGGTGGGAAAAGAAAGAGCATTTTCCTCTACAGCCAGTCCACTTGCATGTTTGTTGCAGGGAGGGTAGTCACAATGTCAGAGAGGTCGCCCGTGGCCTTGTTCTCCAGAGTTTTCACCTAGGTCATATTACATATGGATGTCATCAGCGATATCATTCTGATGCCATTCTATATCCCCTGGATTGCCCTAGGCTCTTGTGGTGCCGCCAGGCTGATTCACGCGCGTTTCATCTTGACGAGTCGGGGAATGGCAGCTATGCTGGACAAGTACAACTGCTACGTGGTGCTGGCCAGTTTGTGATGCAGGTATGACTCGTATGACATGACTGATTTCCTCATCAGAACAGCCTAAGGCTTCAGAATGCTTGCTCAAAACACGTTTTCCATTGGTCTTCCTTTGGACTTTTGGATGTCTCCCAGTATGTTCTTTTGGTATTTGCCGTGCGCCCCAGGTGTACGGCAAGTGTCCATTGACGCAGTGTCGGGGGCCCTTGACGCATGGAAGAGATCCAAACTTCCTACTTCAATCCAGCTTGTTACTAGTAGCTTCTTGTTGCTACTAGCGATGGCCTCGAACCTACTTGCGATGGCCTCCACCTATTTAATAGCGTCCTAAGAAAGCTCATTATATATAAGAGCCACCAGTCTACATAAAGGGAACACACTGCCTTCAGGAGCAGAACATAGACGAACCTGCGTTTCAGCACTTCTGCTACTTTGTGGGACTGTGACCTCTCATGATCTTCCCGACGGATTCGACTTCTCAGTTGTCGAGAAATCCGTCGGACCCACCATGTATTACCCTGAGAAAGACATCCACAATTTACTGAGTAGGCTCAGTCGTTTGTGGGTGCCAGGTGGAGACTGGTTGTCGAAACAGGGAGCTCCTCTGCTACCAAGAGAGTCCCCAAGGGTCGCAGAGGAAGACTACCCTAGACTACAGCCGCTATGGCTTTCCGAAAAGAACTGATCATGTGGTCGGTTTGACCGTCCGATCGAAGCATCTCTGGTTGTTGGAGCCATCCTCTGGCCGGACCGGTCATGGACAGAACATGGACGAAGCCTCCTGAGGCGAAGCCATCAATCAGGCTGTGCTGCCCATCGGTATGTCTGATCTCCTACGGCAGAGTGCGGCCAAGGTGGGTTGGTCAAAGGGACTGTGACATTCACACGCTAGACTTTTGTTGGTAATGTCCTGAACGTCCCATTGGGGAAGAGCATTTTGGAATATTTTGGATGATATCATGACATATCATGACCTTAAGTTGAATCATGTTGTGCATGGATTGGCCGTTGGATGGGGGGTGCCAGGTCAAGGGGGCGGATTTGATGATTGATGAAGCCGACCTGTAGGTCTACTGCCCACACTGCCGGGAGATCTACTTCCCCAAGTCATCCAAGCTGGAATGCTGGAGCTCAGCAGACAAGAGTTCACGAAGCAGTTGAGAACTTCCCTGTGCACCTGTAATGAGCAGGTTTCCATGGGATGCGATTTCCATCGATTTCCCAAGCATCCATTCACTCACAAGAAAGCCACAACCATGGCCACTGAGGTCTCGATGGTGCCTATTTTGGTACGACCTTCGCACACCTCTTTTTCCTGACATATCAGCAGCTGGTTGGGGCCCAAGATGGATTCTAGCGGAATGGCAGTTCTAGCACAGACTTGCTTGGACTCTTTTTTTGGGCATGGCTGCTTCCAATCCGTGAAGAACAAAGAATATGTTGCTACTGCGCAGATGGCTACAATTAAGCTTCTTCATTTGACCCAGTTGACGTCCAGCCGGTCTCACAGGTTCCCCCAACCATGCCTGCGCCACATGTGTGGGGCCCTGGTCGCAACGGTGAGGCATTTGGGAACGCGATGGAGACGCATCCACCTTTCACTACGGAAAGTGGTCACGAACATCATTTCTACTCACGTGCCCATATTGGCTCTTCAGCATGCAGAGTTTAAAAAAACACTGGCTCAGCTGTCTTGCCGCGTGTGCCGAGTGCCCCCGCATCTATGGCTTCAAGATCCACAAGAGTGTCAAGGAGAACTTGCGCCGGCCTGGTCCCGAGTGCCGTCCGCCCGCTTGTCCACTTCCTCGCCCGCTCGTCCGGACCGTCTGAATGCGGCGAATGCGTTGAGGCTTGGTTCTGATTCATTGGACGGAGGAATACTTACTCTCTCTCCCGGTTCTTTTCATATGGGGACGGTACAGGCCAGGGGAGCCTACCCCAATGACTATGCAAAGTCTCATGGTACCATATCTGTGTTGTGAAGGCTCCTTTTCAAAAACAAGGAGGTGAACAGCAAAAGTAATAATTGGCTAGTACCCCGTGGTTGAGTTTGTTCTGAGTCTCATGGTGTCTCAATAGTACAGGCTTTCCTTTTGTCCACCTGTTTTGGCCCCGCAGACCCATACCGAAGGCCACCCACCGGACTGTCTGCAGGCAGTGCGAGCGTGCACAGAAGCAAGCTCTGCCAATGTTCAGTGGGAAGTCGGCCGCTGGGGCAGCAAGACCAACACACCAGATCAACGACTCGTGAATCCCTGGGCTTTTTTGGGACCAAACGCTACTACTAGGGGCTCCTGGCCTTACTACTAGTAACAAGAAGCTACTAGGGTCATCTAGGGTCTCCTGGCCTCGCTACGAACGGAGCAAGGACGCTTATATAAGGATCATCGGGTGTCCTTCCCCCACTGACGCCGCCTGAGGCGGGCTCCCAGGACCGAACCGCGGAAGGCCGATGGCGAGACCGGTGAAACCCATCACAGATGGCCGGGGGAACCAACCTCCAACCTACTAGCGATGGCCTCCAACCTACTAGCGATGGCCTCCATACTAGCGATGGCCTCCAAGCTAATAGCAAAAGGAAGGTAATAGCAAGGGTTGAGTGCACGGCCAGGGTTTGACGGCCTAAAGCTTGTTGTCACACAAAGCAGTGAATCTATGATCAATGCTATGACCACTGGTATGACCACTTGTAAGTCACCGTGCCCATTGGTATGGACACTTGGGGTGCGATCGTGGACGGATTGCCTTGTCACTGGGGTACCAAAGCTGTAGCTTTTCGCCATTGTCTTTTCATGGCAGGTAGATTCTGATATATCTTTCCTCCAGTGCGCAATTATTTGTAGGATTCCCTCACTTTGCCTAGTCACACAGAGTTCCTGCCTAGTCACATGCGATGCTCCCAAGTCCGAAAGATATCGTCATCAAACATCCAAGCTTGTATACCATCGGCTTATCCGAGAGAATGCTCCTTCTTTTGCACCTGAGTTCAGGGCACCTTAAGAAGCTCTACCCCTGATCTTGACCCCCCAAAACCTTTGTGCCAACTCGCGTGAACCTCTTGTTTGGGCTTTGACCAGGGGGTGAAATTGATCTCCGACTGCCAGGTGGAGGGCAAGAGATTGTGGTGGATTAACCAGGCCAAGCACACACTGACACACAGTGACCGCACGCGTCGATACGCACGGATGAAAAGGCATCAGTCGTTTTTTGCTCGGTGGCTTGTGCTAAAGGTTGGCGTCAAAGGTTCAGCACAGATGCACTTGATCTACAATGCGCATGAAGATTTGCTTGAATCTCTTGGCGATTTCTTTGGAGTGATCCTATCCGAATCATCTCGCTTCCTCCTGGAACACCCTTTTGGTATGTGCGAGACACAGGGCTATATATCTGGGGGCGACGATCCGGTCACCAGCACTCCAGAGCGCGGCGAACACCGTCAGGATGGGAGCCTCATCTGTGAGGGGTGCGGGTTGCAGCTTAGCTGACGAAGCTGCCAGGAAGCTGCCAAGAGCTGTCAAAAAGCCTGGGCACCTGGAGCATCATTCATGAAGGGACAGTGAAATTGGGAGCCTCTGAAGTTCTGGAATTGTCCATTTAGGGTGTGGAAGTCCCTGTCACCTCCGCCACCTCCATTCCAGATGTCACTGGTCTCTTCTTTTGGTTTTGGTGCTATTTGGGGATTTCAACGACATCATCTTCTGATGCTACCGGGGCAACTCGGTGCTAGTCTCAGACAGACTTGCATTGAAAGGGGAGGAAAGTGATAAACTGCAGCAAACTGGCTCAACTTGAATGAGTCTAAAGTCAATGAACCAGTGGAGCAGACTACAGGAAGATTTTTCGTTGGTACAGATCCAAGCCAATGAACCGATGACTGCGCCTGACTTGTGATAGACATATGGATACTCTCGCATGTGCAAAGGATCGGTAGCTGGCCCTCATCATCCCGTTTTTTCGATTGGCCGAATGCGTCCACCATGACCTGAGGCCGCGCGGTTGCGGCCGCATGGGTGAGGTAGAAGCCACTCTTGGATACTCTTGGTGGTTATGGCTTTTGTGCATGGTCTCAGTGTTATGCTAGGTTGAGACTAGACTACTAGACTAGTCTCTTCGAAGGTCCTATATAGGACTTGGAACGTCGCTGAAGCCCAACTTCGACCCAACACACGTGCCTCTCTTCTGCATGACACGGCGATGGCGGTGACGGTTTGACGTGGTGCTGAAGTTGCTCGGCATCAAATCACCGGCCACTTCTTCAAATGGTTTGCCCAGAGCACGTCATCCAACTTCAGACCACGTTTCTATCCGAACAGAACAAAGAGGACAAAGGAAGACAAGTAGGAAGACAATGGATGCCAACTCATGCTGAGCTTTCTGTTTGAGACCGGGTCAAGCGGTCAAGCAGAGACCGGTCAGCCCGCTGGGGACCCTGTGAGCCGTCCGGAGCCCCGTGAGCCAGGATGCCCTGGAGATCCTTTGGAATACATGCAACCAATGGCCGTGGCCTTACGTGGCCTTACGGGTGAACAAGTCTTAGAGGATGAAGGTTTCGGCTCTTTGGAACCTCTAAAGGTCTAGCCACAGCTCTGATGGTGACACAGTGATGTTTATATATGTGTGTGACTTACCCGTGTGGGTAGCGAACCTATGCCTCTATGCATGACAAGCAATGTGAACTCAAGCGATGATGAGATGGTATCCTACCCATCCTACCCATTGATGTTCTGCACATCGTCTTGGTTTTTGTCCTGTATTCAAAGACTTTATTAATCGCGATGTTTCTTGCTCTCCAAGTGGTCGTGGTCGCCAAGGATTCCTAGGGTCGCACTGTCGAAAACGAAACGACGTTTACGACAGTTTACGACCGTTCAGGTTGGACGTGTATTTCGATCATGTTTTCAAACCTCAAGAGGTCGACCGTCGACCTGAAAACCAGAAAAAATAACCGCAGATCTTTGGAGAGGAAAGACTGGACACTGGACACTTCATAGAACTGATCATTGATGTTGACCTGACCACTGGACACCAAATGGAAAGACAGGACACTTCCCAAAAAGCATGTCCCTTCCCGTCAGCTCTGGAAGCTCTGGAAGCCGCGGGAAGCCCGCCGCGGAAGCCGCGTCTGCCGAGGCCGCCGCTGCGTCTTATCGTCCTTGGCGGACTTGGCTGCCAGCCCTTTGGAGAAGAGGCGCGGTGGGTGGAGCGAACGGACGAGGGACACGGAAGGGTGATGGGGTGACGTGGGGGTGCAGGACGTGGGGCGACTTGAATGATAGGTGAGAGACTTGATTTCTCATCCATAGTTTTGGGCCCACTGGTTTCTTTCTCAACACCAAATTCTGTGGGGATAGGATCTGCACTTGTTCACTACTTGCTGGAAGAGGGACTTGCTGACAGGTCTATCGATGACCTGATCCAGCTTGGCAAAGCCAGTCACAAGGCTCCTGTGGTGTCCGCTTGCATTGTTGCAAGGAAGAGTCCTGTTTGATTCTTTTTTGCATATTGACAGAGAAGCAGTCCATGTTACTGGACCAAGGTCAAATTCATACAGGTAAGAAACATGGCCAGGAACAGCCCTGTTCAAGAATAGTCAAGCCCAGTGCATGCACAGCGTTTTGATTGGGCAAACTTGCGACTTCTTCTCAGACAGATTGAATGCCATAGATGAATATAAATATATGTGATATCGGATGAAATCGGATGCTTGTCAGTTTCTTTTCGATCGACATGCTGTAACTATCTCACACGTTTCTCATCTCACATGTCTCTGAAAATCTGAGGTGCCCATGTCTCCTTCGAATCCATGTCATCTCTCCAACAGTGTCATCTCTGCACAGTCATTTCTCCCATCTCTTGACAGAGCTTCAGATCCGCACGGCCAAGTCCTCTCCGGCCCAGGAGCGCGCCTTGCAATTGCATGAGACCCTCAAGGCGTTGGTTCGGGCGAAGCTAAATGAGGAACCATTCACCTTCGGATCTGGATGACACCCTGTCGGTTGCTTGATGGCTCTGAAGTCCTTGTAAAGAAGGAGGGGTTGGGTATGTTTGAGAGGTATCCTGTGCAGCTTTGCACGCTTTGCAAGTAGAGTTGGCCATGAGCAAGAATTCGGGCCATAGTTCAGAATTGGCAGCCAGTGGGTGGTTGCCTACGTTCCTTGAACAGCCCACCTGTGACGGGATGGCCTGTTACAGTCTAAAACAGTCTAACCTCTTCATCCTGATGTGCTTAGCTTCGACGTTCGATTGCAGGCTCGCTTGGGGAAGGAGGCAGCAACCCACATGCAGGTTCACCCCAACGTCGGTTCGACGTCGACCCAGGTAGGCCTGGCTCGCTGTGCCATGAGGCCGAACGGTGGCCGAACGGTGGACATTGGGTGGTTTGCAAGGGCTTTGCTACATCTATTTGCAAGGAGGAAACTCCAGGAAAAGAAAACTGAGGGCACTGAAGTGCCGGTGCCATCCCTCTTCAGAATATTGTATAATTGAGCATGAAGCCATGACACTGAAACGAACGGGAGAAGAGCGATGCGCTGCCTGACTCGAAAGGAAAACAAAGCTGTTGTGATGCCAGGCTCGCCAACCTGCCGCTGGGCTTTTGCCACGCACCAAGCATAAGACGTGTTTCGTCAACGCAACTTGGATTGCACCTGGAGCTTCAGGAAGGAGCACAACGATCATGTGTAGCCTGGTAGCCGGTAGAAACTTCGTCCAGGCAAAGTCGAAACTCACGCTCCCACATTCCGAGACACTCGAGAGGGTCTTCGTTTGGAGTTTTTGTACGAGTATCGAGACAGGTGTCCCGATTGGTTCTTCTTCAGTTCCACAGCTATAGTTGCTAGGTACGTCCAGAACTTCAAGCAGGCGTCGGCGTCTTTCCTTGGATCAGCGATCGCCGGCGTCGCAACCACGGAGGGGCCATCTTGCAGCTGCCAAAAGCTCGAGAGCCATCATCTTCCATACTCAGAAAACCTAAAAGCGATGGCCTGGAACCTAAGAGCGATGGCCTCCAACCCATTAGCAATGGCCTGCAACCCAGTTTGACTCACTTCTCTTGTCCGTTCTTCTCCAAACGGTTTGGGTCGGGAGTCTTTCCGGAGAGAACCTCTCCTCTTCGATCAGGTGATGGACTTCGAAGACAAACATGGTGTCGAGGGTCTCGCCAGCGAGGAGCGAGTCACCACACCGGGAGCGGTCAGCCGGTTTCGCTGCGCGATTCCAGGGACTGGACAGCGGACCTACGAACCTACGACACATTGGGAAGATCCTACATACGACACATTGGGTGTGGTGAAACACAGAAACAGAAAATGGCACTGAAATGAAAGAAACAGCCCCAGCCGGCGCAATTTCAGGAGTACCATGGCATCACGAATGGCATTTTCAATCAGCCTTGGGGCTCAGAGTTCTGCAGAGGCAGTTCTGACGAACCATGGGTCGCCAGAGGCTGCAACATCATGAATGTACATCGGGTAGAATTTGAATGAATTTGACACGTGTCTTCCAACATAGTTTCGCACTAAAGAGGCCACACTGACACTAACTTTGTTGCAAGGGCCAGGGCCAGCATCTGTGAGGCACCGTGGGACCATGCTGGATGTCGCAAAAGGTGTCTTCGAGTTCAATGAGGACGGGTTGCTGATCCACACTCCTGGCCACTTCCACTTGATGTTAACTGAGAATATCTGAAAACCGATGAACATTAAGACCCCCAATGGGGCCAGGGTCTGAGAGAATATGGCCTGCGGCCACCATGGGGAGTCTTAAGATGAAAACAGTATATAGGAATAGAAACACCCCGCGAATGAGCTGGATTCACCGAGAAGCACCCCGAGCCATGGCCCGGGGGTGTTCACCCAAGTCCGCCGCCGCCGACGGGCCGACGGGCGCGTCCGTCCGGCACGCCGTCGGGCCGGCGAGGACTTGAATCAGCTCTTTGGGCCAGACCTGGAGCTGGCGGAGCTGAGACATCTGCAGCTCATCCAGGTGACGCCGCTTTTTCGCTTTCGTTGAGAAAACGGGGACCCAGTCACTGAGGTGAGGTGAGGTGAGGGAGGCATGGTTTGGATCACGCGAAGAGCCGGGAGCACAGCGAAGAGCGCGCGAAAGCGGGAGAGCCTCACGAGGACATTGAAGAGTCTTTGGATGAGTTCTTCACGAACCGATTGACCTTACGCCTGATGATCTCGCATATCCAAGCGCTCAATGCCAACAAGACCATGAACAGCGACGGAGAGGCCGATGTGGGGAAAGGGCTTTTGCCCGATATTTGCAGCATCATGAATCATGAGGCTTAAAGATACCTTCCCACAGTGGTTGGTGAGAAGATGATGAAGATCAAGTACATGATAATGTATCATAATCATTATCTACCATAGTTAAGCTATTGTTTGATGTCCGTTGATGAAGTGTCCTCGAACCAATTCCTTCCTTGGCGTTGCCCTCAGGCCATGGTGGGTGTGGTGAATGTCAGCACTCATCCAATCACGATCCTCTCCAGGGCGTGACCGCTCTGATTTTTGCCAAAGTGCAAGCGGAACCAATGGATTTCCGGCGGTCGGTGTGAGTTGGTGCTGATTGAGAAAGTCCAATGTGGAGCCGGAATCGAAAGTTGGGGGATGGTTCTTTGACAGGGTCTTGCATGAGAAGGAGCAAGAAACGCAGGTACGTGGCCACACGCTTCATGTGCATGCGTGATTTTCAAACAGCCCAGCCCTCAGTGTTCACACCCTCAGGCGGTGACACCCTCGTACGATGACCTGGTTGAGTGTAGGCTCCTTGCATTTGGCCTTGGCAGTTTTAGTAACTTGGAACCAGTGGAAACCACTGGACAATCCAAGGACTGATCAGACTCGCCCAAGCTCACCTGCCAATCCTATCCAATCCTCCCGACCCTCCCAGACTCTCCGTTGGAACAAGATGTTCGTGGCAGATTCCGAATTGCCAGGTTCGAGCCCCCCAACATCCAGCGAACTAGAGAACCGTCCTCATGTTTTTTTCGCTCATTTGTTGCGCTCTCCAATCTTCGACAGCCCTGACGGCCTTCTTGGGGGAGCTTCGTCGAACGTCTCATCACGCCTCAACGGCACCACGGCGGCGCATGAGGCGCCGGATCTCCTGGTGAATGGGACCATGCATGATGAGTATGTGCAGCAGGTGGGCAGAGGTCGACACCCGACTTCACTAGATGAGGGTCAGGAATCTGACCTAGTACGAGGAAATCTTAGAACAATCTATAGCAGGAACCAGTCATCGGGTTTAGCTGCGGGAAGGTTGCCTCTGGGCTGTGCCACCCGTTGAAGCCAAGCGGGTGGGTTGATGGCGACATCCAAAAAGTTCCCATGAACATGAGGGAAGACAGTTTTGAGTTTTGAGGGTGATTTGGCACCTTTAGCAAGAAGGTACTAGGTTGGAGGCCATCGCTACTAGTAGCAAGGTTTTTACAGGTGCAATTTTCTCATTTCAGCCTTTGAGCCTGAATGGCTGACTCCGTCCCTGAATGGCTTTCTCCTGTTCTGTGCCTCAATTGGGTCAGCGGGATTTTTGGGGGGGTCCAAGGTCCAAGTAAAAGCCGTCCATTTGGTCGCTCGCCAAGAAATTGAAGACATGCTTGATGAATTCTGATGAAACACTGGTGCATCCGCAGCATTTGTATTGAGTTGGCTCGGTCAGAATGAGGGAGGACTTCCTTCTCTTATGGCTAAAGGCCATCAGGAGAAAGGGAGACGGACCTCGGTCTCCTCAGCCTATGGTGATCCCAGTCGGATACCCGGTGAGACCTGTGTGATCCAACCGGAGAGAAGCCGGCCCTTGTGGAGATGGGATGCGGTCTGTGGAATCTTGCTGATCGCTGTGGCCATTTGCACACCTTTTGAAGCTGGCTTTTTGGAGACGGAGACGTTGTCCTTCATGGGTGTTTTGAATATCATCACCAACGTCTTCTTCATGATGGACATGTTCATGCAGTTCTTCATCGCATACCCAATCGAGACCAGATATGGACCTCGTTGGGAATATCGGAAGAGACTCATCGCGCTACGCTACCTGAAAGGATGGTTCACGATCGACCTGTGCCAGCCTTAGTTCTTCGAAATCACCGTGGCAGGCACCGGGTGAAACAGTGAAAAGGGGCATCGCTACGAACGTAACAAGGGCATTACGACCAGTAGCAAATAGCTACGTTCGTAGCTTCTTGCTTCTAGTAGTAATGCTGTAATGCCGTTGTTACGAACGTAGCGATGCCCTTGTTGCTAGTAGTTGGCTGCTGCAAAAAAATGTGTTTGTTTAGCAGTTTAGCAAGCATCCGAGCAGCAAAGTATACAAACCACATACACAGACATTCACCAGATCTAAGTTAAGAGGAACCCGGCAGAATGTTTCAACTCAAGAGTTGGAGGACTGCCTCACAAAGCTGCCTCACAAAGCTGCCTCACATTGCGGCCTTCCAGCTTCCGTATCCCCCCTTGTGTGCGTATGTAAACCAGGGTGCGACGCTCCGGGACGCCTGTGGGTGGTACATGAGCATTTTTGAGAACAGTGGGGAGGACACTTCGAAGTGTAGGGCCCCAAAAGTATAGGGCACTTCGAAGTGTCGGCATGTGTTTTCTGCTGTTTCCCCATTCCATTTGCTCAAGACAAACAATGCGGATGATGACAGGATGTAAGAGAGATGAACCAGTGCGAATTAGATGTTGAAAAACAAACGTCTAGGTTTGTAGCAACGTCCAGCGGCAGGAGCCAGAACGGACCTTGCCGTGAGAAGTCAACGAGACAAGGGTCCAAGAGGTTGCTGTTGAGGAAACACATTGCTGTTGAGGTATGTTGAGGCAAAAAAAGTCAACAGTTAAAAAAAGACCAGACAGGATCAGAGGGAGTGACACACACACACACACACACGCAACAAAATCACACACGAAAGAGAAAGCAAAGCGTCAACAGAGACTCATGGAAAATGCAATGAGCCAAAATGGGTATTTCAACGAATGTCAAGTGCCGGATCCGAATAGACATGGTACGAAAGCCAGAGGTGCGTCTTCAGGTCTATATGTGTTTTCGCCTGGTTGGTCTTGCAACACCACACGAAATTACCCCTCACCCCACCCATTCCCCGCCCCAAAAGACCCCACCCATATGCTGGAATGACTTTCAATGGTCATATGTCGGCCACAGGCGCCTCACTAGGTGTTGACAACAACTACCCACATGTGTACGTGAACGTAGCAGAATAGGGAGAAAGAATTATGATGAATATATGGCTGTGTAGCAGAATAGGGAGACACCAGACGAAAACGAAACCAGTTGTGAAGGTTCCCTATTCGGGTGGTGTTCCAACTTTGAAATCAGCCTGTTCTTCTATATCCCGACAACGCGAAGCTTGCACCCGAAGATTGCTCATAGATGTTTCAAGCATCTCCAATCGAAGGGGTGTGAAATCAGATCCGTTCTCCACCCTTGGTCGACTGTTCCATGGATTTTGAAAGTGTTCAGCTCTCAAGATGAGCTGCTCAAACCAATGGACCCAACAATTCTGAGGGCCAGCACTTTGCCATTGGACTTCCTCTCACCTGGCTCTGGCCTTGGCCTTTTGCGCACCATTCGTATGCTTAGGTGGGCCCAAAGATTCAAAGATGGGGGGGTTGCACGTTGCACAATTGTTAAGTCATGTTAAAATTCACATGCTCCCCAGCCCCCACAACTTTCATCAACTTTCCAACCACCCTGTCAATGCTAAGTGGGTTTCGAGATTTGTCAGTTGCTCTTTCTCAGCGGTTGCAGATTAAGATAGACTGACCAGAATCTCAATGGCTGCAGCAGACTTGCCGCCACCCACTGGTCTGCAGACTCTTGACCACTCTTGGTTCTTTCAGAGTTGCCAAACAATTCCACAAAGACCTTGCATTTCAAGTGGCACTTCAACGGTTGATCAACTTCATTTTTGTTTGCAAGTTGATAACCGCACCCCAGTGTGGTGTGAAGAGAAAGCGGGCAGGTTGCTGAAGCTCTTGCGGTTGGCACGAGGCTGGCGGTCACCAGATATGGAACAAACATACAAAGCCGATCAAACAGAGGCAGGTACACTCCATTTGGTAGAAGACTCTTTCATCCTCTAGCCCACCACTTCCTGAATGATTTTCACCAGTGCGATCTGGATAGTGCATAGATTTGCTCAGATTTGCTCAGATTGACTCGACAGATATGCGACTGACTGAACTTTGAACTTTGCCTTGAGTTTCGGGCCTCAAAACATCAATTCTGTAGGTGTAGGATGCGCAAGATTGCAATAAATCACTGTTCTCTAAATATAGAAATCACAGTTCTGAGTTGCACTGATCCAGAGCTGACCACCGATGACCCCTTTTTGGTTCACGAGCCCGCAGGCATCCGTGTGGTTCGGCGATATCAAGCGGAAGTGGGACTTTCCTACCGCAAGTTCACGCTGTATTTGCTTTTCTTCGCCGTTTTGGCGGTCTCACACTGGTTGGCCTGCACACTGGGTGTCATCCACAAGTTTCAGATCGAGATCCTTGGATCGATCAGAGAGGCTGTTTCGATCGAGTCCGGTGTTTGGTCGATTCCCCGTGTCCCAAAAGGAGAGGGACTGCACGGACGTCCCAAAGAAGACCCGACTGCATTCGAAGAACCTGGTGACTCCTTGACCGATTGAACTCGATGAACACATAACAGGTGGATGTTGAAGGGTTTTCAAGAAGGTACGTAGAGATGCTGCGGGGAAGCCGTGGTGCAGGGGTACGGAAGAGGCTTTGGGCTCAAGGGCCCTCTCTATCGCTAGTAATTTTCCTTTTTCCTTTCAACTTTAAATTCTATCAATCACCGTTTTGTGTTTTCGGAGCAAGGAGTTACCAAGACATGTCTTGCGATGCTTTGTGTCCAAACGAACGGCTCCACCCAGAAAGACAGCACGGCCATGCATGGCCCAGGGGCGAGATTTGCAGCAACTCTGACATGTACGCTGGCCGTCCAGATTGCTCCACTTCTTGGATGACGGAAGCCTTCAGACATCATGCCAATGCCGAATGGGATGACAGTGAAACTTGATTGAACAAAATGAATTGAACATTGCCAAGTCAAGTTAGTGGCCAACAGCTAAATGGATTGAGCTGCTGTTTGACGATGTTTGACTAGTCCGAAAACCATGTCAAGTCCAAGACTAGGTCCCTGTGGCTGACCATGTCTTGACCGACTCAGCCAGGGGAGTCCACTGAGGAGACTCCACAGATTGATGTCTTCGACGCCTATGTGATGGCCTTCTATACGGGCATCACCATCTTGGTGCACCCTCATGCATATGATGCAATCAACACTGCAGAGCGTCTTTAGGATTTTGTTTATGTACTGTATTTTGTCTTGTTGTGGGTTTTCTGGAAGTCACCCCAAAAATTATATAGTGGTGACCTTGAACCTAACAGAATAGACTTGGAGTTCTTGGCTGACCCCTTTTCACCACCTAGCAGGCATTGAGGCTGCAACGCCCAAGGCTGAAGCCTGTAGTTGTTTGTGGATCCTAATCCTATCCATCCTACAAACTGGCGCAGAAAGGAGACGTATTCATGCCAGCACTGAGGTCTCCTGTTCACGATCTTGCTGCTGATCGGTGGCTTTATGTGGACCCAAGTGATCTCGCGTTCGACAGCAATCGCTTCGTCCCTGAATGCTCACCAGTTGGCACATCAGCAGACCATGGACGACCTCAACAACATCGCTGACAGGCGAGACATACTTTGGGCGACCTGAAGGAAGGGCCCCAAAGTCGTCGCTCCTCCAGTGTTGTCATGAAGCCCTTTTCGGTTCTTCGCTATAGGTTGGAGGCCATCGCTATTAGGTTGGAGGCCATCGCTATTAGGTAAGACAAGGACACAAGGAAGACGACAAGGATGTATTTGGTCGACACCATGCTTGAGTCTCATTTTTGTTTCATTTTGACCAACTGCCCGGACATGGAGATTCATGCCATATTTCATGGCCTCTTCCTGAAATTGATTCGAAGTGTTGCGGGACTGCATGTTCACGCAGGTGGGGGGGTTGATTTTAAACGTAACTAACGCATGTTCACGCAAAGAACTGCCCAATGGGGCCTGTGTCGCGACCGCTTGCTCGGGAACCTAGGGACTGAAGGTATCGGAAGAAGCGTCCACATGTGCGAACAGACCAGTGGAATCCAATGGATGCTTCTTGATTCTCTTGAACTTGAGACATAGTGACCAGACACGAGAATTCCCTGTGTGCATGTTTCAACACATGGAGCTGTAAGCCTTGTGCTTTTGTTCTCTACAAAATTGAAGGTTGGGTGTTTGAGCCACAATCCATTGGCAGGTTGAACTTGTCCCGCGACATGAAGATCCGGTTGCGTAAGTTCTTCTTACGTTCAACCGCTCAGCATGAGTACGAGGCCTCCTGGGCAGCGACCCGGGGCTTCTAATGCCGATGTGTATCGGAATATCAAGACCCTGCCTGCTGAGTAAGCGATTTAGGTCTATCTCTTTTAAACAAGGAGTGTCTTGGGAGTTCCATCCTTTTCTCTCTCAAGACTGGGCAACTCTTGTGTGTCAAACCATCAACTTGTGGCCAACTCTTGGATGCTGGCATCTCGTATTTCCGAGCTTTTGAGGGCCGATCGAGGGAGACATTGGTTTCTCGGAGGCGTGGCAAGAGATCCTCAATCGGATGTCTCCACAGCTGCGCCGGGATACCTACCGCGAAGTCAATGTGCATTGGGTGAAGAAGGCCATGTTCTTTCCGCCGTCTTTCAGTTGGCCGTTGGTCTGCACCAGTTGATGCCACAGAGCACAGATTCGGGTTTACTTGCCGATTGTTAAACGTTCACATCACAAGCAGAAACCAAGGAGATTTGCCAATGATTTTTCTTCCAGGGTGGTTCACTGTTGCCAATTGGATGCAGGATCCTACACTACCCATCTGATTCTCCATACCCTGACAGGTGCGCTTCTTCGACTCTTGTTCCACGAGCTTTTTGATCGGCATCGCAGAGATCCTGGAAATTAAAATGTTTGGAGAACAGGAACACTTTGGACAACTCTTCCACATGTCCCTTGCTCAAACATAGGCGTTGGAGACAAGTCTTGGAATGTTTTTGGATATTTTGGGTATTTCTTTGGACCATTGCCAAGTGGTTTTGCTGGATCAGAGGATCAGTGATCTTCTTCCAAGATTTCTGGAATTGAAAGTTGTTTGGACAGGTATTTCTTTGGCTAAACATGGCCAAACAAATGGATGTTGCAATGAGGACGGTCCAAAGCAAATGCTGAACCTGTTTGAGGGTTCTCTTCTTCGCCAACGCGAGAGTTCTCTCGTTTCCAAATCAAACCTGCCGAGAGTCGTAACTGGACACTCTGGGGTTTACCTGCCGAGAGTCGTACGTACTGATTGAAGTGTCACCACAGTTTGGGCCATCTGCGGGAGATGAAGATCCATCTGGGGTGACCACTGCTTCGCGTTCGCTCAGACAGTCCAGATGCGAATGAGGGTGCCATGTACCCTCTGTTGTGAGGTACATCATGATGGGTGGTGCAGCCTCTAGGGTGGTGAACTTCACTTTGCTGCTGCCGGGAATGGTTTGGGGTGAAGATCACCTGCTGCTGTCCAACCCGGACTTGGTGGCCAGCAATATCGCCGTCGCCTGGTGAAATCAATCCGACGTTGGCATCGCTTCGGTGCAATTCGTTGCCGACCTTGGAGTCGGGCTTCATCGATTGGGATCCCAACCAAGCAGGATCAAGTCCAGGTCCGAAACTGCACCGGATTTTCATGCAGAGCGGCAGAGCGCAGTGCTCTGCGAATTTGAACCCATTTGAGCATATCCGTCCGGATTCCACAAGTGGGTACTGTAAGGTGTTTTGGTTGTGGGTGGGTGGATGTGGACGTTGGAGATGCATGGATGTTGCCCAACTTCAACTTTCCAGTTTCAGACCCCCGGCTAAATTTAACCAGAAGGAACTCTTGAGTGAATCTGATAGTTTGCATGGCAAACTCCTGCCGGTGTGCTATATTCGATGCCTGACAATTCCCTTGATCGAACGCGGACCATGTGGCTTTATTACACAGCTACAGTCCTACAGTATCTTTGAACCTGAAACGACGTGACCGGAAACTTGCTGCATCCGGAGTCGACTTTGAGACTCAGCGTTTTTACATGTTGGAAGCCCACCTCATCCAATCCTCGCCGTTTTTCCATGTGGAGGGCTGAGCCCGCGCCCAGGTGTCGCTCACGGTGGTGGAAGTGCAGGAGCTGGCGAAAGCCGGCTTCGACGCCGTGCCTCGGTGACGCGGACGACCGCGGACACGGAGACGCGGAGGCGGAAGGTGTTTTGTTTTTTTTTGGTCATGTTATTTTTTTTAAATAGTATTTGTATATTTGTTTACTCCACCTGGCTGCCAGGTGAGGGTCTTTAGATGATTTGATGATTTAGGTGATATGAAAGGTGCTACTGAAAGGCCTCCTCTGCCCAGTCGATGTGGCAGTTCCAGTGAAACAGATCTTTTAACGCGCATTGATCTGTGCGTTTGGTTGGTTTCTCGATCTCGCAAATGGATGGAGGAAAGAAACACAATTCTTGGGGCGGGACCGCTACTGTATGCTGGAAAATGGGGAGAACGGCTGTGACCGCCCAGAGTCTGCAAGATTTTTGCAGTCTTCAGATAATGTCTTGAGTGAAACGGTCGTCTAGGTATTGGAAGACTTTCCAGAGCACGTGCAAGATCTCCGCCAGGACTGCCTGCCAAACATGCTTGACGTGTGACTTTTGAGCATCCAACTGACAGGCCTTCGTTATCCTTTTGCTTTTTTGGGTTATGGAACAGCAGTAGGATTTTAGTGTTGATGTGCACCCAGAGATTCGGGTTTGATCAAGGCTTGAAGGCTGTGCTTTGCCATGCTTTGCGTGTTTTGCGTGCTTTGCGGCACTGCAAAGGCCATACCTTGAGACATACCACTGATCTCTGTAGTTGTCGGGTGGATTTGCTCTTGGCCTTGTCTCTTCGAGGTAGTGGTGAAGTATATCTTCATGCGCGGTCTCAAGCGATTGGCGGCATTGACTCTTCAAAGAAGAGAACAGTTGGAGGACCACCGCAAAGAAAGAAACAGACAAGCACAAAAATCTCTCCCAACACGTCAAAAAAGATCCTTCTTAAACACAGTCCTTCTTGGCCAAAGCCGTTGCCCTTGTAGAAAGTCGTGATTTGAAGCGCTCAGTTCCCCGTTTTCGAGTTGCCCAACCATGCTCAACTCTGTGAGGCCGCTGCGCGAGGGGAGTCCGCAACAGAGTCGGAGACGTCCGAAGGTGCGTTGAGACACTTAAGATCTCCAACTGCATCGGCCTGGGACAAGATGCTGGAAGAGAGCCCTGGCACTCCTCAGCTTCGAAATTCCAAGACTCAGGAACTGGATGCTCATGCTCAAAGCATGAAGGATGGCGCACGCTTGATCAGCATGCAGTGGAACAAAGCCCAGAAAGGTGCAAGCAAAGATGGATCACCAGCTTCGCCGGCTACGCCGGCGACGTCAGGCCACCTGCCCTCAAAGTCTGAGGTGCGAGATGCCAAGGAGAAGGTGAAACAGGCATCTCGGTCCCAGTGGTTCGGAGAGATGCCGAAGGGTCGGATTGAAAGATCGAGTAGAAGGTAACGACATAAAAAACATGTAACGACATGCGTCATGATTGACACATTGGAAGGTTATGTCATGATATATATATATAGCTTATATAGTGCGTTCTTTCGCAGCTGGGATCGGGCAAATCACCAAAAAACATGCTCCTATATATATATATATAAAGCATTGGTCAAGATTTAGCTTCATCATTTTGCATGCAATGTGCGGAGCCTCCAAGAGAGGATTGGTCGGTGTGTTTTTGTTTGGCATTTGCCTATTACCCTGTAAGACGGAGTATGTTCCAGGACTTTCATGGGTGAATGATGGTGAATGGTTCTTTCGGTGAAAACCTTTGAACACCTGGATGACTTGATAACTTGCTGACTTGATGCCTGTTCAAAACCTTTGTGAACTTGATGACTTGATGTGTCTGAAAATTGGTTGGAAGGGTCTTTTCCGAACCTTCCATCCGGCTAGGCGAAGCGGAAGCCCATCCAGGACGCCAGCCAAGCGGCTGCAGTGGCCTGGTATTCTCCCATGGACGCCGCTGCCGCGGAGACCTGGAGAAGATGGGAGTGGAGATGGAGGGATGGATGGAAGACTAGTTAACTATTGAAGACAGAGAGATGAAGTCAGGGGTCTGAGGTCAATGATCACCAAGACCACAGATTTTCAATTTGGTGCCCAGATCAGCCCCACATGGCCCAAATCCTTTTTTGCTTTTGACGTTTTCCATTTACTTTTGACACCACCAAAATGCAGCTGAGAAGAGGAGGAAGATGTACTGTATAGGTGCAGGTGCAGAGTCGTAGTTGCTCAACTGACACTGCTAGTCATATTAGCAGCATCAGCAGCCATGGTGACCAAAACCATCAGCGAAGCTTTCACAGCTTTCCGTGTTTCGCTTTCCTCAGGCGACCGCTGCGGCTGTCTCAGTGGCAGATCATTCGCAAGTCGGAGAGGCTTGAGCAGAAGACTTCAGAACCGCCAGGTCATACGCATACAACCAAAGGCATAAAACCTGGAAGAACTCGGAAAGGGTGCTAAGCAGGTGCTAAACATCCTGACAGGTGACGTCTTTTTCTTGGCAGGCATGTTTCAACCTCACCAATGTACCTCACTTCCGCGACTGCCAACGCGCTTCTGCAGCTTTTGACATCTGAGGATACCATGATCGAAGATTGGATCAACCGACAAGACGAGCTGGAAGAAGGCGTTTTCAAACGGCTCGATGAGGTTAGTGAGCCACTGGACCAAATGATTTTGTTTTGGGCTGGTGGGCCGTAGGCCGTAGAGGGAGGCAGTAGCTAGAGGTAGCTAATTGGGAGCTAGCAGCTTAATTAATTACTTAAGCTTCTAGTATGGACGCAGGATAGCTCACACCTCTTCAAGGAAGCTCCCGCTAAAACGGCGGGGGGGAGCTTCCTTGAAGAAGCGCTCGCACTAATGATTTGGTTCCTAGATCTTTAGGGAAACTTAACTGAAGGGCTCTTTGTCGTTTCTAAGTGATGTGGCAACCACCTGCCAGTGTGGAAGGGTTGGGGACACTGTCATCGAAGAACCTGCGTTTCAGCTGGTTTTCTTCAACCGAGGGCGTGTCAGACCCCAACCCTGGGTTTTCATCAGTACTTATACCCTCCAAGTCCTCAAGCTCAGCCAAAGATATTCCAGGATTAACGAACCAAACGAGGACAACAACAAGTTTCTTCTCAAGTGGCGAAGATCTCCGACTTTGTCTTAAGCTGATCTAACTTACCTAAGACCTATCATTTGACTGGGCTTTCTTGGAATTTGATTGGATTTGACCCCCTTCGTTGTTCGCTTCTGTCCAAGCTTCTTTGTTCGCCGCTGCTTGAAGCACCGAGGCAGATCTACAGTCTCTACGAGCCTTGGTTGGAACATCCAGGGCTCTCGAGAGAGGGTCGAAGATCTGGTCGAAGCGGGTCCTTGCTTCGACCTTTTGCGGGTTCGCAGAACCGAAAGGGTCAAGGCATCCGTTTCACATCCTTTCACTGGTTTCGGCATCGGCATCCTTCACTGTTTCGGAGGGTGCGGCTTCGTCCCGCAGTGCGGCACGGCAGAACGTTGCGGCACGACCAGAGACTACGACAGAGTCTACGAGCATGTGTGTTGGACGACACCTTTGTGATGTTTTGAACGTTGTAGGAGACAGTGCTGGTAGCGAAGGACTTGCCGTGGATGACATGTGCGTTCTCTCACCTGCGAGAGAGGTTTTTAGCCATGTTTGTGGTGCATCTCTTTGGAACCCCCATATGTAGACAGGTATCAAAGAGACGTACGCACTGTTGCACACTACCGATACTTGACATGCTACCATACTCGCCCCCGAAACCAATCTTTCATGTCAATAATAGGATCTATTAGGATCCATTAGGATCTATGAGGTTGAAGTCGCTTCGATGTGCTTTCGAACTTGTTGCTTCCTATCCCGACTTTGTGATTTCGTTGTTGAAGCAAATCACACCTATATTACTCGTATTACTGTATATAGGCCTTTCTTCATTTTCTTTTTTCTTTGTTTCCAATAGCGATGGCCTCCATCCTACCAGCGACGATGGCCTCCAACATAAAAGGAAAACTATCATAAATTATCTACAGCGTTAGAGGCATGTGCAAGTGTTTTGCACAGCTTCCAAGTTCACAGCACCCAAGTGGTATGTGGTACTTTCAGCACTTGTTCCCAGGAAATGATGCAGGAGCAGCAGGTGCCTGGACCTGGCGGGGTGGGACAGGAACCACTTCGGTATGGACATCCACGGAGCTGGTGAAGCCTAAACGGACCGATCGGTTCAACCGAAGGTAGGGGGTCTTTCTTGTCCTACACGAAAGACTGCCACGAGACTACCAGATTCCAAGAACTCATGGCGAACTCATATGGCGGCGGAATCGGTGGTCAGAGACAATGTGTTTGGGGGTCGGAGAGGATGGCCACTTGGTGTGAAGACTTCAGACTAAAGATTGGGTGTACTTGACACTGTTGCAATGTCATTAAACCATGAAAACCTTGTTCTAATGGAGGCTATAAGCAGATCAGCCAATGATAAGCCCACGATGTTGCTGCCTTGTTGCAAGCAGAGTCTTTATTGTTTTGTTGTGACAGGGACCGTGGAATTCTTCCCTGGACTCTGGACCGTGGAATTCTTCCTTGGAACAGGACCTTTTGCAGCAGCAATTGGTGCCGCAGAAGGAAACTCCTGAAGCTCCTCTGGAGCAGAGGCGCGTCATCCGTGAGCGGCCCGCAGCTGTGGAGCAGTCGCCGGCTGTATTGGACTAGGAGCAAGGACGCTACTAGGGGCTCCTGGCATCACTACTAGGAGCAAGAAGCTACTAGTAGCTCCTGGCATTACCTGGCACAAAACCTGTAAGCACTGGTCTTGTGGAGGAACATGTTCTTCCTACGGTCTATTTCCAGGTGAACATGTCAGTCTGCGACGGTGTATTGTTCCATGAGCTTCCTCAAAACTCCCAATCAAGTCCCCGGAACTATATATCTGGCCTGAGGCGCAGATCTCACTCGCCGTTCAGCCCAGCATTGCAACAAATTTTTGGGGCCCAAGGAATGTGGATCGAGGCATTCAACCGATCGATGACCTTTATTGATTGCCGATGTGAGGTATGATGAACGGCATGATTTCCTCAAAAAGGAGCAAGGTTTTCTTATGTTTTCTTCACACTGAAGTCAGTGCAACCTGCATTTTATTTGGACCAATATTCTGCTACGACAAATTCACGCGAGTCCGTTCCAATCGTTTATGTATCCCACTTATCCTCTCTATGGATGCCCATGAACCCAATCAAATGACGTTCCAAATTGGGATGTCCGGCATCGCCCGTCCCCCCCCAATAAAGCGTTGCAAGCGGTCCATCTCGGTGAAAGGGCAGGTCCTAGATCCGATGAAACCGGGTGTTTTAAGGGTCCGAAACCTGGGTCCCTGGCCTCTTTCAGATCGTTGCCATCTTCAGAGCACTTCGGCCACTGGGAAGAAAGAGTGGGACGAGCGGGACTGGGGTTGTGGGATGAGACTGGTGGAGTTGAACATGTTGAACTCCCCTGGATGTCAAGGAGCTAGGAAGACAAGAATGGACCAGTGGCGGCACCACGTTCGGGATTCAACCTCAGGGGCTCTCGAGATTCCAATCATGTCTTGGCAGTCCTCGCACCTTTTGTGGCTGGAAATCTCATGTGTCAATTGATCAGAGAAAAGCGCACCGCCTTGTGCCAACCAGTAGCAAGAACCAACAAGTAACAAGTGCATCACTACTAGTAACAAGGGCATTACTACTAGTAGCAAGAAGCTGCTCGTAGAAAAGTGCATCGCTACTAGTAGCAAAAAGCTACTAGTAGCCAAGTGCATTACTACTAGTAACAAGAAGCCACTAGTAGCTAACTGCATCATCCAACTTGTCAATCGAGACTTCATATGCTGAGAAATGCTGAGAAGTTGAACCTGCCAAGCCAGGTGGTCCAAACGGCCGTCCATGGTTGCTTCGAAAGCAGATTGGCCCATAGGATGAACAGTGACCGTGGATCAAAACCTGGAGCTCCAAACCCTGTGGGTTGACCTGTCTGCAAATCTATGAAGCTCAAAAAACTAGCGTTTCCCTGCTTTGACCCACGAGCTGAACCTCAGTTCTTGTCGATGAAATCAATCACCTCACGGCCGAGATCTCTTTCGGACCACGCCGAAGATCCCGAAGAAGCCGGATCTGCAGCTGCGGGATGAGATGCCCAGCTATGAATGACGCCCGGTCGTCCGCCGGCGCGTCCGTGTTTGCTGGTTCGTCCGCGACTCCGCCCGCTGTGGTCGTGGAGGCCCCACGGTCCTCCAGATCGGCAAAGGTCAAGACCTGGCCATGCTCAGTCGTTGGGAATCCCCCCGATCCAGATCCACCGAAGAAAGAATGAGGGGAAGGTGGGCAGAGAAGAAGCCATCGTAGAAGCTGTATGAAGATTGTTGAATTGAGGGTTCTTTCTGACATCAGAGTACTCCACTGAAAGATGTGCGACCTACTCCATCTCAATTCTGATGTGGGGAACTCGACCTGGTTAAGTGGGAGGTTGGGGATGATGGCGGAGAGAGATCAAACTAACAAATCATCCCAAATCTACAGGAGCAAAAATGACATCCACATGGTCAGCCTAGATCAGCCTTGCCACCATAGTTTCAACGTGTTTCAACTCAATGTATGACTCAGGCAGCGGAGCTAGTATCAGTATCTGGTGGTTGGATCACGGGGAACTCTCCGCCAAAGGGCGGGGAGAGAAGTTTTAGCAACCAACGCGAGTGGAGCAGCGTCAATGGATTGGGGCTGTAGGAGCCTCAGGTACGCCATGGGGTAAGTGTCAGGGACCTTTGACTGAAGAGTCGGACACATCATGTTCCTACTCAACCACTCGACCACTCAGTGGTTCAGAAGTCCAGGTCCATTTTCCCATGGCATCTCCGTACTCTCTCAGACCATGTCTCATCCTGGACCCAGGGCCGCCAGGGCCGGACAAGCACTCATTGCAGTCGAAGAAGACGAGACGGTTGGTGTGTTCTACAGCGTTTCGCTTGGTGGACCAAGCACCAAACAATGCGTTCTGGGTCTGGACGGTTTTAATCTCCAGTGCACCAAAGGTGTCAAAAACATCGAGTTGCGTGCCAGCGCTTTCCGAATGGTACGAGCGTTTGTCCGATCGGTCGCAGGTGCTACAACACGAGAACATGCTCCCATCAGCCATTTGTGGAGTATAACGCATGGGTTGCCCACCTCAGACAGGAGGGTTCCAAAGCCTTGTGTCGCAACGTGCCAGAAAATGCTCTGGTGGGGGGAGCCCTGAATCTTTTGGAAGCTCTTTTGCCATTTTGGGCGAGATTCCAAGCACCGTTCGAGAATCAATGGTCTGAGGGCGCCTTTTCTGCTTCGATGAGGGCGCCCGGTCGATCGTCGGTGTTCGAAAGCCGGATGGCACTCTGTGTTATCAGGGAGCTCAGCAGCACTTTGCCTACGTCCACACGCAAGGGACCTGAGTGGCTGGGAGTGGCTGGGAGTGGCCAAGGGCTGAAGTGGCTGATCAGAGCCGACCGTGCAAGGCAGTAGGTTTCGGGGCCGATGTGACGTGTGGGGCCATAGGTCTCGCCACATCCGTATCTACAGGAGCCATCAGGAGCCTGTCTTGTTGGAAATCCTGCTGTTGACTACTATCTACAGGACAGTTGTATCTTTTTTGGAATGACATGCTTTCGAGGGTGGCATCATCGCCCTTTCATCGCCCATCGGACGCAAGGGTTCCATGTGAGGGTTCCATGCGGAGCTGCCCGACAGGGTGGCTCCCAGCAGATATAGTCAAGGGATTCGAGGGCTTGCAAGGGATTCGAGGCTCGGCTCGAGGATTGGATTTACTATATATATATATAGACAATGATTCACCCAACAAACACTCGGGTGCAACAGGGTCTTTGGAATCCGCCTTGTTCTCAGGCATTTGTTTTACATTTTCTTGGAGCTGGTGAAGAACGCAGCACGTGCATCAATCGAGCCGCTCGATGAGCAAATAGGAGCTTGGAGAGCAGTATCTTTGGTTGGCCAGAGCGTTGCTGCTTAGATGTTGATGTACAAATTATATACATCAAATTATTCTGTATGGATCATGTGCCCACCGAAGATGCCTGTCCAAATATCATCGCTGTGGCTAAACGGCACAAGTAGCCAGATAGAAGGTTATGTACAACCCATGCTGTTGTCAAAGGATCATGAAGACCCAATGTGGCCTCCTGGGCGGTTTTCTTTTACTTACTTTTTATAATGTTTCTTCAGAACCACACCCTGGTGGTAGGAAGTTCCAACCCTGCAAAGCCAAAGTGAAACAGGTCACCCAGTGTCTCTGTGGCACTGCGTGGCACTACCCTTCAGACTTCTCAGATGACGCAGACCGTTCCCTCTCAGGCGGGCTCAGTTAGAAGGTCTGCTGGAAGATACCTTGACGCCCGAGAACCCTGGCTGGTGCCCCAGAGTGCTGTTGAAAGTGACATTGCAGGTATCCGCAGATGTCAATTTGGACCGTTTACTCTCAAGTTTAGACTCTAAAGATTGTCCCAACTCTTTTCTTCCAGATTTTTGAACAAGGGCATCGCTACTAGTAACAAGGGCATTGCTACTATAGTAGCAAGAAGCTACTACTAGCTCCTGGCATTACTACTAGGAACAAGGACGCTACTAGTAACAAAGGGCATCGCTACTAGGAGCAAGAATGCTCTGTGATCGAAGGTGAGATCAGAGGAGAGATACCGCCGATGAGGGTCACAGTGCCTGAGGACGGGCTGGTGGATCTGATATCTGATGTGTTGGGCTTAAGCTGGTCTAGGTCCTAGGTGACCTGATAGTGGATCAAGGGGCCAGCCAAGCTGCGCGGACATCCGCTCCCACTATATGGTGTTCAGAACAGACTTTCATGGACTTAAACGAGTTTGAACAGCGTTTTCTTGGTGAATGGGGGAGCACCCTGTCTCACTGAAGAGGCACAAGAACCGTCCAGAGCGTTTCGCCTCATTCTTTGGTCTTTGCCTAATCGGCTGCGCCAGCGCGAAAGCGGGTTGCACAGCTGCCCTGGAGGATCAGAAGATCTGGGACCACGAGAGGTCAGTGAAGCTGGCTGACCATGGTACTGGTGTGGTCTCCCAGTGAGAGTCGAACAAGTCTTGGTGATGGGCGAAGAGAGGATGAGCGCGTGGAGAGGGCGGTTTTTGAGGCCGCTTGAAGCGGGAAGATTTGGATGGGCAAAGATGATCATGGCAAAGTCTGCTGAGGATTTGGTCACATTTTCTCCATCTACAGGAGGGACGATGCACATCCAAGCATTGGTGTGTCACTTGAGAACCCCCAACCACCGGTTTCAAGCGAAGATGGATAACGAGTTGCCCTGGCAAGGCATGAACCGGCGGGTGCTCGGCAAGGCGTGCATCACTTGACGGCCAATGAGGAACTTGCAGGACATTGGCATGGTTCTGTTCTTGACTCACTTGAGATGGGATATGAGCCTTGCATAGCTCTGCAAAATCATGTGGACATAATTGGACATACATATGTAGAACGATATAACGGTATAAATAATTCAACTTGCGATGGATACATGCATAGTCTTTGCAAGCCAACACTACTCATTTTGACTGCCATGGGGCCTTTTTTCTGTGTAGATAACTTTGAGTAGGACAACTCTGCGACCTTTTTTGCTTCGCGGTAGGCATTTTCCTACTTCTACTCCTCGGTGAAAGCCCGACCCACCATTGCTGCAGAGGTGTCTTCGTTCGTTGTTTTTTTTCAGTGCGGATGGTCGGCACGGTCCCACACATGATCTTGATGTTTGGTTGCAAGTCTGGTGAATTGGACCACTTCAGATTTCAGGGGCAACTTCGACCGACAACGGTGTATCGTGAGACATTTGTAGGGATGTTCACTGATCGCATAGCTGGGTTCCTTACCTTCAACATGCACGTGTTGGCCTCGCTCATAGACATGATATGACATGATTTACCAAACAAATAAACCATGTTTCAAACAAATTTGATGATTCACGATTAGGTTGGAGACCATCGCTCTGAGGATATTTCAAACAATTCGATGTTTGACGACCGAAGTTCAAAGGCCGAACGCCGTCAGAACCGGCAAGCTACGAACGGAGCAAGAACGCTACGTACTACTAGCCTGGGAGCAAGAAGCTAGTTCGATGTGCCACGGAGCAAGCTACTAGTTAGTTGTCTTTGGCAAGGTCAGTGATTTTGACCGCCGCATGCCCCTGGCGGGCTTCGGCTTTGGCCTACCGTGGGAGCCCTCAAAAGGGCAGTGGGTTGGGGTTTCTGCGGCTCTTTGGGGTCCCCAAATGTAGTTTGGAACTGTTGATGTTGAGAGCAATTCTTTCATCAACAGTATCAAGATGCATCAAGTACCAAGCGCTTCTTCAACCAAAGCACTCTGAGAAGAAATGGCGGAGCAGATGTGGGCACAGGTGCAATAGGAGTCCATCACAGCCCCATCACTTGTTGCTGTGGCTCCGCTCGACGTTTTGGACTCTGATCCTGTTACAGTAATTTGTGAGTTGTTCTCAGAGATCATTTTTTTATCCAAGACCAAGAACAAACTGAGTTCCATATACCAATTCAGATCTACCAACTAAGAACTAACTGGTTCCAATGCACCCCACCCAAGAAAACACCTCGTATCGCACCAAGAACCCGATCCCAAACCGCTGTGCGAACAGCGATCCTTCACCGATTGAGGATTAGTCGAGTAATGGCTCGCTATTTCGCTGGCAACATCGACGTGAACTCGATCCCTGGACAGGCGGCCGTCGTTTAAAAATCATCGGCGATGGAAGGGAAAGAACACATACAACAACATCACGGGCCAATTTCATGGACAAGCTATGACTAGCCCACTGTTTTGTGTTGAAAGGCACACTTGGGTGGATCCAGTCATGATCATCGCTGTGACTTGGTTCATGATGGTTCATGCATTTGGGGGGAGTCTCCATGGTTCCTGAGTTGCAGCATGGCCCACGACCCGTGTGCAGGGCACAGATGTCTACGTCTATCTGTGATGGGCGCAGCAAACCCTTTCGCGATCTGCGGAGAAATGGTGATGGTTTGGAAGCTATCTATGGTGGGATGGGGGACATGGCTAGATCATTCCTTTTTCTCCCAGGCAAGATGGGGTTTGCATGATAGTATATATATATATATATTATATAGATTGTAGCCGTGTGCATGCAGTTTGCAGTTCTTTGACGATTCCCTGGCATCATGGCGGCTCTTACCTTCTTGCAATGTCTGAGCTCAAGCACGCTTTGTGTGGCCGAAATCCATTTCATCATTAGCACCGACTTCTAACTCCGACAGGGTGCAAAACGGGATCAATTGCGCGCTTTGTGTAGCTGAATTCCAGCGGCAGATGTTCGGAGGACTCACCTGTGTGGCCACACTTTGCAGGGAATGAATGAGCCGCTGGCCTGGAGTCCCAGATTTGGTGTGGTGTGGAAAAGAGCCTAGCTCAGAGGCAGGTTTACATTTCGCGCTGTGGTTGATCCTCGTTTGTTTCGAGCAGACTGTTTGGTTCTGCAGGAATCTTGGCACAAGCTTCCGAGATCGTAGTGAATCTTTAGTAGCGACAAGCTGGATCTACTTGGCCTACATCCAAGTCCACCAAATTGGGGGTGGGAATGTTTTCCAGGCTGTCCACCTTGGCAAGAGTCCAAGATCCATAGCGATTGAGAAACCTTGAAAAGACAGTCTTCATGTTGAACGTCTCCTCGATTTTTCTGCAAGCCAGCCCATCCCGACGTGCCATCGGGTGCCAAAGGGGTGTGCCGTGGGGCGTTCAAGGAGAAGCGGAAACTATGGACCATCATGCTGAACACCTTGAAAAGGCCCCGCTTGGAGGAGCGAAGCCGCCTGCGTCGGCGCAGCATTGTTCCACACCCGGGTTTCCACCCCGCCCAGAGCCGAGATGTCCAAGGCCAACGCAACACGAAGCACGGAACGAGGAAAGTGGTCGAGTGGGAACGTGAGGAAATATTTGGTAAGTGTATGTAAGTGTGTTTGTCTGATGTGTTTGATCGTCCTTCACACCTATAGTTGTTTGGATCCAAGTAACTCGGAAGCGCGGTTTCTTTCTTGTGCGCCTCGAAACTAGGGCTGACTAAGGTGGCTGCAAAGTCTCTAGGTTGGCTTCGAAGTCCATCCAACGACTTGAATATAGTATTGAATATAGCACATACAATATTTGATTACTCTTTTCTACATTTTTCTACGTCTAAGCGTACAACCAATAGGCATATATGGAAAACACATACAGCATATATATGGTACCAAACGGATCCCCCTATTCCTTTGACCGGACCTGACCTGGGACGCTAAAGGAGACCGAGACCGAGACGGAGCGCCTGGGGTGCATCCGCAGTGCAGCCAAAGTCGCCGGGGGCACAGCACGACGTCGACTTCGAATTGGCCGGTCGAGGTCGCACGACGTTCGAAGTGGATGTGAACGGTCTGTTGTGTTTTTCCCGAAAGCATTGCGAAGGGTTCTTCCGGAAAATCCCTTGAACACTGACACTTCGACACTTACACTTACACACTGACACTTCCACCACACTTGCACTACAACATGAACGCTATACGTACCCCAGTGTAAGTGGAAGAGCGAAAGCATCCAAGTGCAAAGTATGCAAGTGTCAAGGTATGCAAGTGTAATGATGCAAGCGCGATGATGAGTATGCAAGCATGCAATGAGTATGCAAGCATGCAATGAGTATGCAAGCATGCACTGAGTAGGCAAGTGTGAGCAGGGAAAAAAAACTAGCACGGGAGATGTCCTAATGATGAGCATGGAAAACTAGCACGGGAGATGTCCTAATGAAAAACATTTCCCCACTTTATAAATTCTCTCTTAAAGGCGGAGGGTGGGACGAACAGCGTCAACCGAAAGTGCTACCCTCTGCGGAGATCGTGCGTGTCGAGTGCGCGAAATGCAGGCGAGAGTGCGATTTGCCGGCTGCGCGCGCAACCCTCTGCGGAGATCGTGCGTGTCGAGTGCGCGAAATGCTGGCGAGAGTGCGATTGAGTCTGTGCGCGCGCAACCCTCTGCGGAGATCGTGCGTGTCGAGCGCGCGAAACGCAGGCGAGAGCGCGGTGGGGTGTGTGCGCGCGCAACCCTCTGCGGAGATCGGGCGCGTCGAGCGCGCGAGAGGCAGGCGAGAGGTGTACTTTGAAAACTTTAGTACGCGGAGTAGCCGGGGACCTGGAAGATGAGAACTGGCGACAGGGTAGTGCAACCGTAGTACGCGGAGTAGCCGGCGAGCTGGAAGCTGAGAACTGGCGACTTTGTAGTACAACTTTAGTACGCGGAGGAATCTGTGGAGCTGGAAGCTGAGAACTGGCGACTTTGTAGTACAACTTTAGTACGCGGAGTAGCTGGGGAGTGGGAAGATGAGAACTGGCGACTACAACTTGAGTCCGCGGAGTGTCTGGCGAGTTGGAAGATGAGAACTGGTGACTTTGTAGCTGGGTAGATGAGAACTGGCGACGTGGTAGTACAACTTTAGTACGCGGAGTATCTGGGGAGTGGGAAGATGAGAACTGGTGACTCGGTAGTACAATGACTTGGTAGTACAACTTCGTTCATCTCCTCTGACAGGTCACTGCTTCGAGACACTTCTGGCGTACCTGCCTCGGCACTTTTCTGTCCTCATTCCGGTTCGTTTTTTTCCGTGAGCTTTTCTTGGCGCCGTGCACGCTGCTGCTTCTCCCCTTACCAGCAGCCCAAATGCTCACGACGATGAGCTGGGCTGTCACCGCTTGGCCGCCGGTGGGGGGTTTGGGAGGCCGCATCACACACAGACACCCACACACTGCCTCAACTTACACGAACACACACATACGCAGACTCATTTCCACACGGACATAGATACACGCACAGAAGCCCACACACTACCTCAACTCACTCGACTTCACACTTCACACTGCACACTTAACAGATAACTCGCACTCTGACTTCCTACGTGATGAAAAATGCTTTCGGGCCACTCGTTGTCTAGTTTTTTCAGTGTAGGAAAGGTTCACCATTGCCTGCTCACAGGCATCCAAGGATGCCCAAGTTCAACCATTGACCGAATGTATGTGTTTTGTGGATCACCCAAACTATCGATGAACAATGGATGTGCTTTTGGACTTGATAGACCTCTTTGTGGACTAAAACGATCTTATACCGAAATCTGATACCATGGAAAAACGCACACGGCACGTCTCTCGATGCACGCGGCGCAGGTCGCTGTGCCCGGAGGTGCCCATGATACGGTCTTTCGGGGCCAAGCTCTGCAGACGACTTAGCGCCGAGACCGGAAGAACCCGGTCGCCGCAGTTTTTTTGTCCCGCCACCGAGCGAGCTTCGGGGGTTTGGAATCCGCCCGGTGAGTGCGGTTTCCTTTTCAGAGGTGTTTCTGGAGTTGCTGTTTGTGTTGCGAGATCCACAGGATTTGGCCACGAGGATGGGCCCAATACAACTCGGGACAACTGGAGAACGGTGAAGCTGATTTCAACACGGATCAGCACGTGCATGCGCATGCTAAGTGTGTCATGTTGAGTCAGGCTTTGTGTGGCCAAAGCACTAGCAGCAGAGGAGGCCTGGAAACGAGATCATAAAGGCCGCAAGGCACTGATGGATGCAACAATCTTCATCTTGCGATTGAACAATTATGTTCGACTAGAGCGGTTTAAACTTCGGCAGCGATGACTGATGCATGGGCTACTGTATCATCTACAGGAATCTGTAATATAAAGCTATATAATTATTCATGTCTAAAGCATGCATACCCGTTTAGCTTGTGAACTTGCACCGCGAAAGGTGGGTGATCCTTTGTACGCCTTGGAAGATAGCCTTCAACTCAAGGGAGCTGAAAGGAGCGCGTCGCTGGGTGCGTCGCGAACCAGGATGAACCCGGAGAGGCAGGAGACCGCTAGTCGTTCAAAACACATTTATAATACAAATACTAAATATATCTAAATATAAAAAGGATGTCTATCAAGACCCACTAGCCATGCAATTTAAACCCGCACCTTAGGCAGTCCGTTCTTGGTGGGCTTGTGGGTCCCGCTCCGCTCCCGGGTTCGACCAAATGCGATTCGAGGCGGTGGCCAAACCCACCCGGGACCCGGTCAAACCCACTCTGTCTGAGGCTTCCATCAAATCCTGATGGCTCATCCGTTGGAGGACTCAGTTCTTCTTCGGGCGACCCGTGTTTTGCTCTTCGTCGAGCAAAACGTCGTTGTTTCCATGTCGAAGCAAAGAAGGCGGCGAAGACTCCGACCCACGACTCTAACACCAAACCCGACTGACAGAGCTAACTGTACTGGAGAACTTTCTTTATCTACAGTATCCCTTTGGCTGCTTTCCACAAACCTTTTTCATGTGGCAGGCTTTCAGAAAGACAGCGAGGAAAACCTGAGCGCTGCCGAACTGAGGCTGCCGGCCTTGGCAAGGCTAATGCCTGCGAAGTTGCAGGCAGGAATCTGACAACCAATGGATCTACCGTAGATCAATGCACTGCAGACGAGAGATAGACACCTTTCTGGCCCCCTCCAATTGCTTGGCAGTTGCTAGACCAGTATTTGTCGTCGGGGGGATGCATGGTTTAAGGCCGTTTAGTAGCTGAGCTGCTTAGCTCGCGACGGAATCTTTAGGTTCTTTCGTGACCTTTCCCTTGAGACCCACGCCCAGAAGGGCTGGGATTACGAACGGAGTTTTGGGAGGGGTGAGAATTAGCAGTTTCAGAAGCTTCTTGGCGGGAATGCCTTGCTTCTTGGTGGTCGTTGGTTGCATTAATTAGGATTTAGGATCCTAATGTGCCATGGGCCATCGTCATCATCATCATCATCATCATCATTGAAGAGCAAACTGAGACTCTTCTGAAGACAGGCTTCAACCCCCATATTAATATAAATAAACACTACTTGGCACTTGTAGTAGAGGAGTTTCCTCAACCGAATCCAATGCAGGCCATGTGGTCAGCGAGACCTTTGATTGATGCGATGGGCCTACTGCCTCAGAAGAGCTCCTCTGGTGTCCAAGGTCGACTTTTTTGGGTTTGGGCGTGAGAGAAGCATGGACATGGAAATACGATGAGAGGCCTGGATCATTGATCCTCATCACTCTGAAATAGGATGGAAAGGAAGCTGTGCATATTCCCGCATAGAGAATATCCATGAGTATCCCAATACAGGCATTGGAGTACGTGTCTTTCTGCGTGACCTCATTGAGGTCCCAACTTCGCCGACAGTTGTCATCGAGCTCTGCTGACCACCAGCCGCCGGGGATACGGAGATATGACAAAATCACGTGCGCAAGGACAGCCATCAGCCATTGAGACGGTGCGTGTGGGAAGAGGACCCATGTAGACTCCCAGATCTTACCCGTCACGGATTTTTCAAACATATCCCTTTCCCAGACACTTCATGTCTCGAATATTCTAGAAGATATGTTTACATCAGGTGGTTTAGGGGGTCAATGCACAGTAGGCATAAATGTAGGCATGATTATCATATCCTTCCAGTCCCATTGGTCATGTTTGGCTTTATATAGACCCCCAATCACATAGAAAGAAGATGAAAGAAGAGTAGATCTCCACTAACCATGTAGAAACCATTTCTATCTATTTGGGGATCACTCCAAAAAACACCATCCCAACACCCATCCCATCCGCGCGGATCCGCGCGGAACCGCCATCGACCGTCCGCTCGAGGCCCCGAGGTTTGGTCCTCGGCCGCCCAGCTGCGGGCCTCGGCTCGGCTGCTGAGAGCGGCCGTGAGGCGCACCCCCCAACCGACGGAGGAACCTTCGAAAAGCCACAAGGGCTTTGGTTGAAAACGGTCCAAGACGTAGCACAGGTCAATTCGGTTCCATGTCACTTGGCGGTTTGGCCACCGGTTCGCCGTCCCCCACGGGTGCTGGCTCGACCCACGGTTGACCCTGTCGGATCGGAACAGGTCAGAGGGAAGGGAAGACAGAGAACACGTCCCAAAGACGTACATGGTTGATATGATGTATATTGTGTCTATATGTGTCGATCTATATGTGTCTATGTATCAATGTATATCAATATATATATATATATATCAATGTATATTATCAATGTATATCATGTAGAAGACTCGGATGGCCAGAAAGCAATGACAAACAATTATCATGTAGAATGTATAGGATCATGTCGTACACTATATCATACGTACAGTATGTATTGGTATATATTGACTGTTGTATATAGGCCTACATTGACCGTCTAAACCATCTCAATGTAGGCATATATTCCAGACATGGAGTGTCCGACTGGGCCCTGACCTGGAGGCCTTCAAGCCCGGGTCTGCTGACAGCACTGGCGCAGCGGGGAAAGCTGGCATGTGCGATGCCAGAAGGCTTGGAGACAGAGACTGTGACAGCTGGGAGATAGAGACTGGATTCCAATCAATTCCGCATTCTAGTCTTGCTCTTTCGGATCTAATAGCATTTTTCTCTGGTAAGTTCTGTTCTTGGTTGTGAAGGGAATCAGGGCAGATTTGCTGACAAGTTCCCGTGTGTTCTGCTTCTTTGAGCAGAAAAAGAACCGTTTCCGTCACGAAAAATCTCCCCTTTGAGGATTGCAAAAAGGTCAGACCATTGACTATAGACTATGTCGCAGGGTCATTCTACTTTGAGACATCTGGTTATCGATCAAGCCCAGATGCACTCGATGAAGATCTTGCGGGAGAGGAAGCAGCAGGCTGAGAGTACACCAAAGCAGATAGGAGATGTCTGTAGTTGAAGTAGGGGGCTCCTGACTCAATGGTTTTGCTATGTTTTGGTTGATTTTCCTTCTTGAAGCTGCAAAAACAAAGTAACCAAGGCCGAGCGCCAAGCTGCAGTGGAGATGTTGTTGGAACTCATGGATTGCAGCCACCTGAAGCTCGGTTCGAAAGCAGGTAAGTTTTTTTTGTTGTTGCCTTGTGATGTTGGATGGCTATCCCTATATGGCTACACAAACAAGGCATGGATGGCCTCTCAGAAAAGAAGGAAAGGAACATCTTTCAACCTCAGAGGGTGCCACACAGAAATCATGGACTAAACAACACTGGTTGTGAAGAGTGTACTTGTTTTTGCTTTGCACTTTTGGCAGTCCAGGGGTCATGAAAGTGTTTTTCTTTCAGAGGCTCTCAGGCTAATCTTCGGCCTGTCTACACAAAGCCACCTCAAGTTGCAACACCCTCGGGCCAATTTTCTGCTTGTCCTGAACCATTTCATCGCGTTGCCAGTCGGGTCAGGCGCGAGATGATAGTGGAGCTGATCGTGCAGGATGAGGTGCGGAAAGGAAGGAGCGAGAGAGGGTGACGGACCCTGAGAGGTTGATGAAAAGCGCCAGCTTTTTTGGGAGAACTCGCTGGTGGCGTTTTCGAGGTTGGCCGGTTCTTGTGACAAGTCAAATTCACTTTCGGTTTTCCGGTTTCGATTTGTTCACCGTGCAAGCAGTGCGTTCGAACGCGAGGCTTTCAGAGAAGAGCCCAGCACTGCGAGAAGACTTGGGTTGGCTCGCCAAGGATCCACATGGTTCTTGGGATCCTTTGCCTCCTTCCCAGAAGGATCCAAAAGGCATTGCCTTTATGCTGCACGCAGCTTCATGATCTGACTATGAACAGGGCTCAAACTGAAGCTGCTGCCGTTTTCTTCGAGATTTTTTTGACGTGTGCTCTTGAAGGGACTTAGCGGCAGGGACATACCACCCAGAGAGCCTGAGGTTTGTATCTTTTTTGTCGACTTGGTATGAAGACAGTTACATGAAAAGTGTAGTACCTCACATCTCACCACTCACCCGGTTCTGTGTGGTGCGTCCGACGGACACGGTCCACACCGCATCACTCCACATGCCATCGCCGTCGTCGTGGTGTTCGTCCTCCAAGGGAAGTCAAAGAGCTCCCCCTCCGGGCCAAGGCGATGGGGGTCAAAGGGGCGGATGTCTTTGGCTTGGGAAGTGGGTTCCTGAATGATGTCCCCTCATTCATTGATGTGAAGCTACTAGGCTTGGATGCAAGAGCCTGAGCTTTGATGATTTGATTCCTAATGGTTCCTGGATTCTGGGAGAAACTAGGATAAACATGGATAAAATAGGTGCATTATTATGTTGCTTCTCCAGGTTTAAAGGTTTGAACATGCATTTCATATCCTTTTCCACTCCCAAAACATCCTTTCACGTGAGGCTAGGTCTGTGGATCGTCACCCTACCCCTTCAGATTGAGAGACCGCTTCCAATCAGCCGAAAAAAAGTCACGACCGCTCTTTCAGGCCTACGATGACTGTGGGGGCCACTCGGCACTGCCCGTCAGCTCCGTCGGCCTGTGCGCCACAGCGCAGGGCGCACGCTGCCGGAGTTCGGCGGAGTTCAGCGGTGTGACTGTCGCGTTCAGACAGAACAACATGTTGGCTCCGCCCAATGATAAGACGCAGGGCCAGGGGTATACAGAATGTGAACACTTCACTTCATATTGTCCGGTCCGGTCCCATTTCCTGTATGTTATTATGTCAAACTATGTATTTCACACCATAGAAAAACAATACGACACTGTTATTTCTTCCATGCCTTTTCCATGGGGTTTTTGCTTTACGCCTCCAGCCGTACGTCAAGGTCGAGCCTCCACACCTCCGGATCCAAAGAGGCGAACCGGACGCGCTATGCGATGTGCTCGTAATGAGTAGCGTCCGATCGCTCCTAGTAGTAAGGCCAGGAGCCCCTGAAGTATGGCCTTCACACTGTTCTTTTCGGTCTTTGGTCCCACCATATTTCAGGGGTCACATCATTCTATATCATGAACACCGTTTGTGGCCATTTGGCAGCTGCTGGGACGTTTTTCTGTTTGACCTATGACAACTTTCAGGCCTGATGTTTTCCAAGTTGGTTCGTTCAGGCTGAACATCATGACCTCTTTGGCCGCTGGGACGTCGCGAGCGAAGCAACATCTGGAACTGCTACAAGGAGATGACAGATCCGCGCGGGAGAAATGGCAAAATCCTCCGAAACTGGCAGGCTTTGATGTCGCGCTTAGCAAGGGCTTTTGGAGAAATGAGGGTGACGTCCTCATGTACTCATACAGCTACTCTAGTCCCTGTTGGTACGTCCGGGATTGATTGAACTGAACCTGGGCTTTATCTCATGAGATGAATCCCGATTGGCATTCTAGCGCGACGAAGGCAAGCACCTCATCCAGTTCATGAATGGTTCTTATTTTGTACAGTAGGTAATTTCAAGCAAGACACAGCAGGCTTTGCAGCAGATGGGACCCTGTTTCTGCACTCGAAGCTCAGGACTGCTAAAGGATGACCAGGCTGACTCTTTGCAAGGCCAGCCTTGTGTCACGCGCGCGCGCACACACACACACACACAGAGAGTCTACTGAGCACAAAGAAGATGTTTTGATGTCTTAAACATACTGTCGCTATATTCTGCTACTTGTGGGACTTCTGAATCCGACCCAGAATGACACTGACACATGGTGTAGATCACAAGGAGCAGTCCCCAGGCACAGGAGCGTTTCGAAAGGGAATGTATTGGATTGTCAACACACCTCTGCGCCCTTCGTGAAACGGGCTGTTGCTTTGTGAAATGAAGGAATACACATACCACCAACTAAACTCAATTGCAGGAATTCCCAGGGCACCACTCAGTCATTTCTTGTAAGCAGCAGCCGGAAGGTAGAGACCCCCCAAAAATATGTATTGTATGTATAAACTGAACTATAAAATCGTAAAAAGCTGTTGGCCCAGAACTCTGTACTTGACTTTCCATGCATTTGCAGAGTCGGGCGGGCTACCAGACACCACGCTTGAAGAGGCTGTTGATGGACAGTTGGGAGGCCACCTTAAAGCCTTAGAGTTAGACGAGTTCCCACCGTTTTCTGGTCTATTTGGCGTATTACACCAGATGGAGAAGAAGTCTCCCAGCAACGGGAGGGGCTCAACTGATGGCTCCGCCCCGAGTCCGGTTGCTCAGGGTCTGGTAGCTGTCGCTGTAGCTGTCGCTGCGAGGTCTACGACAGCTACGACAGCTTGGGCTCGAGCAGCCAGGTCAGCCCCTCTTTTGATGTTCCGAAGATCGTTGGTGAGGTTCGAGCACAAACAGCTGACACATCAGCTCCCGAGTACTAGGCGTGCACCCTTTGAAGACTTGAATCAGCGATTTCAATTTAGTTTTATACTACTTGATATCCTTTATTCATTCACAGTGAGGAGAGCTAGCTGTTGATGACTTTGTTCCAGCCCTGGGTTCAGAAAGAGCCTGAATATCTTGATGAATCTTGAGTAGTTTTTGATGTTTTTGGAAGCTGCTAAAATATTGCTTTTCTTGAAGCGCCCACCCAAGAAGGCGTGAGCATGCGTGAGCGTTTTTCGGGTGGCCAGGATTTACTGAAGATGACATAAGACAGGCTGGGCTTCCGGAGAAGAAGAATGCTAACACCCTACGAGGGGAGGTGGAGAGTTAGCATTGATCATGCACATCATCGAATCATCATCATCATCATCATCATCATCATCATCATCATCATCATCATCAT